TGCCAAGAAGGCCACATCTTCTGAATTCACAGTCCTTGTAGATACCTGCTCCCGTAATCAATCATCTATGAAGGCCTAATAACCGCTGCACAACATGAAGTGAGGTCAAGATACCCCTGCAAGCGCCATACCGCAAACGGAAAGCGGAGCGCGAGATTTACGCCTCGCGTGCTGGGAGAGAGGATCTTGCTTCAAAGTCTTTCCATCAATAACAATCTCTGCTATTTCGATACTTTTTATGCTGCCGAGCATGGGATACATACTGTTGTCAAAGTGATCCTGCTGGAGAACACCATGTCGCACCGCACCGGCCCAGCCCGCAAGGCCTGTCCAGCATAGCAGTCGCCACACTTTTGGGAGGACCAATTGTGCTCAAATACAAAGATCTCGCCCGAAGCAGAGCTTGAGACGTAACGCTTGTGCCACTCAAATGCCGAGTTACTCCTCGCTAACGACTCAAATCTCAGGGCTGTCTTTGAAGAATTGCTCCAAGCTGGTGGCCTTTACCCTCAACTTATCATTATCCAGATCTTTCAAAACCCAAGTCCCATCAACGGTAAACAGCTGGTAGAACCATCCTGTCAACGCATCAGCAAACGGGTTTAATTCGTGGGAAGAGTCTGAGGGATTGAGGCAGCCATGAACGAGCAACGTGGTTCGACTGCGAAAGCGGCAATCTGAACTTACCAATGTACTCGTAGAACCTCTTGGTGGTTCCACTTCTACGAGCATCGAATGCCTCACGGCGAAGATCGTCCAGATTGCCTTTCTTCACCACACTTCCACCACTGCCACGCACCTTTCCGTAGGTCTCGGCCATCTCCGGCAGCGTACTTTCGCCCGAACACACAGTCCAAAACTGCTGGTCTTCTGCATCTGTTCTCTCCAGGATTGCCGCTGTGAACTCGGCACAATCCTCTTCAGTCGTCCAGTGCCAAACTTCGTTGCCTTCGCCCCATACATGCATCTCCTACAAGCCGTCAGATGCCCACATCGCTTACGCACGGCTGAGCCACATACCTTCTTCACGGGATCCCAGACTCCATGGTTCTTTGGTCCAAAGTCGCCATGTCCAGGTACGGAAAAGAGGACTTCAGCCAGCACACCGGTGAAGATGTAGATGGGACGGATTTCTGAAGTGAACTCGACGATCCGGCGAAATGGGAGGTACATATCATAGCTCTCGTGCTGGCCGAACGACATCTTCCTCCAATCGTAGTTCCAGGCGGCGGCGACATACCGCTTCACGCCAACTCGTTCAGCGGCGCGAAGCAGCAGCAGTTGGCCTTCCAGCTGTAGTTCAGGTGTGCCCAAATATGCACAGATTACGGCGTCAACCCCCGTGCAGGCCTTCTCGAGTGCTGGTACATCATAATAGTTCTGACTCTGGACGAAGCTCTCAAGACCGGATTGGATGTCTTTGTCGAGTTTGGATGGGCTGCGGCCAAGACCACGGACTTGGTGATTCCGGGAAAGAAGGCTTTTGACCAGCTTTTGGCCAAGATTACCTGTAACGCCTGCGATCAGTACCAGCATCGTGTAAAGCTCCCTTGGATCGGTGCTGTGATCCTGCGACTGAATCGCAATGCTTTTCAACCTATTGACATCGGAGTGTAGAAACTCCGTCTCGACCGAGCTGTTCGGGAAGTGGGAGCGAACGCTTCGGCTTTGAGAAATGACGATCTGGTCGCTCTCCACTTTGATGAGATGAACGTGACAAGTTGCGAATTACTTACAGATCACAGGTACTTACGATGTCCTGGCGTCGGTTCCTCGAGACTTGGAGAGAGATCTTTCCGAATAAGTCACCGATCGCCCAATTTTCACCCGTAACAATTCCTCGAAAGGCCTCCTCGTTGTCGTGGTCACCGAGCATCTCCTCGAGATCGTTTCTGCGGTCATTACTTGATTGGCGGCCTTTTTCAACAGGCTGCATGAATGCAATAGCTGTTCTCAGGATCTCACGAACACGTCTCAGGTCCCAGTACGGCGCGGCTCTTGCCAAGAGTCGTACATGTGGCTGTTAAGCTGTTAGCCATGCAGGTGCAAGCCCTCTTTTAGGAAAACAAGAATGGGCCGTTGGCGCTGGTATTATCGTTACCAGAAGGCTACAAGCTAAGAGTTTCCGTCCTTCAATTTCCTGGACACAGTTGCAGGCATAGCTGAAATGATCTGACATGAGACTATTGATCTATACTGCTTTGTGTGGGCTGATCCAACGAGTCTGTTATTCATGCGTACCTCATCATCAAATCGTTGCTAATTATAATAGGCTGTTGGAACATGGACTCCCATCGCCGCTCTCTCGTGGGCACCGTCTCAGATCTCGGTGTTCTTCAACGCCAATGGCATCCTCCGGCGCAAATACTACACAAGCCGTAGCGGTTGGCAACCTTTTGAAGGTCGTTTCGAGAGGCTGTCTTCCAAGATTGGCTGGCTGTCGCGGCCCACTGCAGTTTCTTGGGGTGAGAATCGTGGCGACGTCTTCCTCTACGACGATAACGGACGAACCTTGCACAAATACTGGGATGGCACTACTTGGCATCCACAAGGCCTCGAACAACTAGCATCCAGCTCAGAGAATCGTACCTTCGGCGGCAGATTGAGTGCTGCTTCTTCGGGCAAGGACAGGCTTGACGTTGTGGATATGATTGTCAACAATTCGCACACTTACGTTGGCGACTACGTACACCTCTACTGGGATGGCCATGAATGGAACGGGTGGAAAGACTGGAGCGAGAAGGGAGTCGCATTCTCTTCACCTCCTTCTATCGTTTCTTGGGGTCCGGACAGATTTGATGTCTTCGGTGTAGATGCTAATCAAACCGTCCGGCACAAGTATTGGGACGGCAAGAAGTACAACGATGGCTGGGAATTGCTCGATCGGTCGACTTGCGATGGTGAAGAGAATAATTGCGATCCTCCAGACGGCTTCAAATCTGATTCAGTCACTGCATCTTCCTGGGGACCTGGACGCTGGGATGTGTGGGCAGTCGGTAATGATGCCCAGCTCTGGCATACATATTGGGATGGGAGCAGCATCAAGCCTTGCGAGCCCCTCGGCGGCAGCTTCGAAGCTGCATCGCAAGTCCTTCACTGGTCTCAAGATCGAATCGACATCGTCGTCTTTGGAGGCACCGAGGGAGATCCGTACTTGTACAAGTATGGCTACTGGGACGGCTCTCACTGGCACTGGAAGCCGAGTGCCGAAGACTGGATCAAGAAAGATATCGACGGCGGATTTGATAGGGGTAGAACGACGGTCAAGATTCCGCTCAGCCTTCGCGTACAGATCAATGTATTTGCAGGAGCGCTCTACTTCTCCTCGTTCGACGAATACGTCGAGACATGCAAGTTCCTTGGGGTGGTCTCGTTCCCCGCTAAGACAGGCTGGGGTAGTCGATACCGACGGTTCCATTCGGGAAGATGGTCAACGTCTCAATGGCAGCAATAACAAGCTGAGGCGAAGTCCCATCAAGCTCCTGAAGGCCTTGTACCCGAAGATCAGGAGGGTTGGATCAAACATTGGTTCAACGGACATGGGTCGGCTGCTGGATGGCAAGTTGCTTACACCAGATGATTTTGTCAGAAGAAATTGAACGAGATTGGCTTGGCGGCGAGATTGAGCGGCAAGATTGAGAGGACAGAAGCGGTGTCGGTCTTGAGACGATGAACAGCAAGAAGCTCAATTGGTACTTAGTTATCGAAAGATAGACGATTGAGAAGTTGCTAGACCTTTCACGGGCGGAGATATGTCGTCTTGATTCTGCGCTCTTTTTCTTATCATTCTCTCTCGATGTGATCGAGCGATCGTCCTGAAGACATTCTCGCCGAGTGAGACACATTTGCATGTGACGGGGTCCGTGCGTCCACGTGGACAAATGCGGCAGGAGGAGCAGAAGCACGTGCTCAACAGGCCATATTCTGTGCGATTGCTCCCAATTGGCATCTTTGTCCGCATTGCGTTCGATACCGTTAAAACCATTCGGAATGATTTGTATCAGACTTGAAGGCTTCCCTCCGCGGAACAAAGGCACTTCCGCGCTCCGACAGGCTTGATCAACGTTAGTTCCGTCAGACGAGTCTCCAAGTGTTCCACTTAGAATCGGTCTTGAAGAGTCTTGTTGGTTGCCTTTTGTTTTCCTCAAAAGTTATAATGTCTCTCTTGACATCACATTCGAGGGCATCACCTCCATTGTCAGAGCTGAAATCGAGAGAAACACGAACTGAACTCACGCAAGATGTCCATAACGCGCTGTGGTAATGGCGTCTATATTGCCGGGATGATGCACGTACTTGCGAGGTCACCACAACGTCCCTGCATAGTTCGAAGACAGCAAGCCATCCTGTTCTGGGAAGAGCATAGAAAGGTAATTTCCTAAAGAGGAGACAAACAGAGCCTCTCTATAGGTGGACTTGATGTCATCCGTATTAATCCGTTCACCCACAGCAGATCGCGTGCTCCTCCACCTCCAAGACACGTATAAACTTTCAAATGACACGCTGCCACAGAAGCTCGGTACGCATCACACCGACAAGGTTTCGTAATGCAAGGTCATACCTGCAGCACGTCTCGTACTTGATCACAGTGACTAGGGAGTGCTCGAGAGCCACTTGCTATATCAGTCATTGCCCGTAATTCAGTGGCAAGCTCATTAGAGCCTTTAATTTGGAAACTGTGTCGCCGTATAAAGGGCTGAACAAATCTCGAGGGACGACGGGAGGACAAAGTCGAGAGCATCAACTAAATATGTCCATCCTTCGAACTCTTTTGATCCTGCCAGCCTTCTACCGATTAATTAAGGCTGAGTTTGGAATCGCAGCACAATTGTTCCAACTCTCAAGGGCTGCATCAGTGAATAATGCGAAGCTATCTTGGGCAACTGTCGACGGAGCGACGCAATATTTGGTGCAGCAGAGCTTAGGCAATGGAGGGTTCCAAACGATTGCGACGGTCACCGGCGAGACCTACGACTCGTACGGCCTGACAGTTGGCTCTACGTACAACTGGAGAGTCACAGCCTCGAATGGGAACGCTCAAGTCGATCAGTCGTCGACGGCTTCACTCACACCATTTGCGCCTCAGAATCAATACAATACCTATGACAATACACAGCAAACCTCTCTTCGCATCAAATCCAACCTACTGAGCAACGGAGTCTACTATCGATACAACTATGAGACGTTCTCAAACGGAAGCTTTAGCAGATTTGTCGAGCAGACTTCCTCAGACGGATACACCTTCAGCGGCGACAAGACGGTGTTGACGGGCGAGGTACTTTGCAGACCATCCAACTATGACTGCAAACTTGAACGGGTTTCGTTCCAACCGCATCCCAGCCTCAATCAGTTCGTCATGTGGGCACACTACGAAAGATCCGGGGACTACGGCCTTGGTTATGTCGCAGTAGCTCACGGAACACCTGGACAGAATCTCCAATTCGATGGAGCGTACCGACCGTTGGGCGACGATTCCAGAGACATGACCTTCTTTGTCGACGGCGAGAATGCCTATCTTGTTACGTCGACGAACACGAACACGAACAACAATATCTATACCTTGACAGCCAATTGGACTGCAATCGACCAGAGACTTGTCCAAGTCAACGTTAACGGCCGTCGCGAAGCTCCCGCAGTGATCAAGTCAAACAATTGGTTTTATCTCTTCACATCGAGAGCCGCTGGGTGGCTACCGTCTCAGCCCCAATACATTGCTGCAACAAGCATGGCAGGCCCGTGGAGCAACCCCGTCAACGTCGGTAACACGGCTACGTGGAGCGCCCAGTCTGGGGGCGTACCTCAGCTCGAAAGTGGCCAGTATGCTATGCTCGCTGACCAGTGGGCAAGCAATTGGCCAACAAGAGGTGGGCCCAACCGCGAGCTGATGCTGCCCGTGTCCCTTGCCCCTGGAGGCGGCTTTGCATCCTATCACTTTTATCGCACCGTGCAATACTCAGACGACATTTCCACTCAGGGTCAGGGTCTATATGGTGTTCAACCTGGGCAAATCCTCTCCGTTGGAAAACCGTCCAGCTCCAATGCAGGCACGCAAGACATCGCGCTTGCGAATGACGGGGTCCAAGACACGCCAGATCGCTTCTTCAAGCCTTCGACTGTGCCATTTTGGTATCAAATCGATCTGCAGGACTCTCACATCATCTCTCAGGTCGACCTGACGACGAACTTGGTTCAAGGGGTAAGTAGAAACCAAGCCCCGTGGACGCGGATAGTGAGCTGACTTCTTTGACAGAGCGAAACGTTCTATCGCTTCAACGTCACAGGCTCCAATGACGGCAATACATGGACGCCACTTGCGGATCAAAGCAACAACGTTAACCCAGGGTTTGCAGCATCTTTGCCAACGTCGACGGAACGATTCCGATATGTTCGAATCAATGTGAACCAGATCAGGAATAATGTCAACAACAATGAAGCAGATTTCGCTAGCGGTGTTACAGAGGTGACTGTGTACGGAACATAGTTGTCAGCGAAATCATCTCGCCACGGATTGACCAGTCTATGCCGAGTTGACATACTTGGGGACCTTTGATCAGGATACAGGAACAGAGATTCGATCTAGCAGACAATGCCTATTCCATAGCTCTTCCTACAGCATCACCGCCAGAATGCCAACAACTAAGCTCATGAGCCCAAAGAAAGCCGCAACCAAGTTCGTGTGTGCTGAAGCTGCCCCTGAAGACGTCCCAGAACCACTGTTCACACCGGCTGCCCCTGACACAGTCGACCGGATCGATGTAGGGGCCAAAGTTTCTGGGCTGTACAACGATTCACTAAAGCTGACATCACTCTGGATCGAAGCAACGTCTACGCTGAATGATGAGCTGGCTTCCGCTGAGTCCGTGGCGAACGCCGAGAGAGTCGTAGTCGTTGTGACCGTGCGGCTCGTGGTCGGTGTGTAAAGTGGTATCCATGTGATGTAAAAGTATATGTACGTCGTGTAGAAGTACGAATGGTACGTGTAGGTGTAGTCGTAGCTGCTGTAGCTGGTGTCGTATGAGGTCGAGTAGGAGGTCGTTCGGCTATCAGAATCGGAATAGCTCGTCGTTTGACTGTCCGGAGGAAATGTCACATCGGCGACGCTGGTTTGAATGGATGGTTCGGCGTCGTCGCCGCTAGAACCACGACAGCAGATCCCTGTACCGCTGCGGCATGTTACACAGCGACTCCCACTAGGGCAGTAGTTACCGTCGCTGTGATGCATCAGCATGCATTCTTCCAAGGAGCCTCCATTCTCGACTTACGAACAACACTCGGTGCCGACAGGATGGATGTCACCAGCGGAACCACAGCATAAATATCGTTCTGGCCTGCAGTATCCGCTCGTTCCACAGCATCCCGAGTTCGGCGGGCAGACCCGGCCATAGCAACATGTATTCTGGTAGAGTTCAGTCTACGGTTGAGAATTGATACCGTCTTCTTGGACCTCCTTACCTGCCTGTTTATACACCCTGCTCCACAGCAGCCACTACTACTGGGGCAACAAGATCCAGAGTCTAATCATGTCAGTCATGCAGCGGTCGAGATACTAGCTTTCTCAATCTTACCGCAAAGCCCATATCCAGCATCACAATACTGTTGGCGACCCGTGAGCTCACGCGGGAGAAGCAGTGAATCGAGAGGCTCTGTGGAGTTCGCTCGAGCATTGAGGGGCTTGAACTCTTCTTGCGCCAGGCCAAGGGCAGCGACACCCAGCAGTAGGTAAAGCATTCTGACTCGATGTTGTTTCAAGGATGAAGAGTTCGAAGAAGGAAGATAGAGGAGTTGCCAGACCGTCTTCACAATGTACCGATCTCCTGTACCAAGTACCCTCCCATTCAGCTTCCAGACCATCTGCAGCATCCCGCACCCTTCATATCATCTTCACGCACGCTTCACAGCCAGGACCATCACAACTTCCCAATACGGAAATCGACGTCTTGGGCGTCGACTGTGCTACCTCAAGGCGTCCACGCTAACGCTTCAGCTTCAAGCCACGAGCCGCTTTCGCATCTCATAGAGCCAATTGATGGCGTTTGCCAAGAGACTATTTCAACTATTTTCCGACGGGACATGTGATGTCTCGTAGATCTTTGGGGACATACTGCATGGTCGCTTGTGGCATGGGGGCCATGTGGTGGTGCCATGAGCTTGGCGATGTTAAAGGAGGTCGAATCGGCTTGCAGCTCTTCTTTGTTACACTGAGTTACCGAGGTAGCACTGGTCTCGAGGAGTGAGTCTGGAAGCCTGAGGCGTCAGTTGTCCAAGAGAAGGAGGGGAATTAAACATGTCTGGCGCAGGGTCTTGCAAATCCCAGCCTTCTTCCTTGGCAAGTTCGAAGCGGAGAATGAAGAGTTGCCAGCCAAGGTCGCAAGATCATGGCATGCTGAGACGACATATGAAACGAAGGAGCAATGGATTTGAGAACTGAAATGAGAGAAAGAAAAGACGAATGAAGCTAGGGATGAAAATGACTCGCTGACATTAATCATAATCATGTGGTATCTTTTTCGCAAATGAAAGCTGAAAAATCATCACGCCGAACCGCGGCATTACATAAAAGCAGCACCAGCCATGATAGCAGCTCCAACAGGAACTATGACCTTGTAGACCTGAGTGATGCCAGTGGGAGCAGCCCCGCTATCAGAAGACGTGCAGGTCGCAGAGCCAGATGGAAGGTTCGAAGCACCAGCGGTGATGGGGATCTGAGCGTAGTTGAACTCGTCGGAGCGAGTGAGAGTATCAGTCGTCTTGGTGGCAGTGCTTGAGCCGTAGACGGACACCATGATAGAGGCCGTGCAGACGATTTCGGAGACTGAAGAGGCTGGACCGTGCAGGTCGCAGCTCTGAGAAAGAGTCACCTCTCCGCCTAGAGTAGACGTCGAGTACAGGACTTCGTAAGCAGTGGGTCCTTGGGTGACGGAGATCTGAAGAGCGTTAGATGCAGAATCGAACGGATAGGGTCGCTTGCACTTACAGTTACGTCGGATGCCAGAGAACACAGGTAGTTGTCGGTGTCGGTGCACTGCATGGCGAGCGTAGTGTCACAGCCATTTGCGGAAACGACAGAGGCAGCAAATCCCGTAGTGTACTCGCCCTGAATGTACAAAGTTAGCTCCTGTCCCCACAAGCTGTCCGTGAATTTGGTTGACGCACAACAATGCCAGTGATGGTCGTCTGGGCTTCGCCGGCAGCGGTCATAGATGCCGAAGCGGTGACGGACTGTGCCGCAGCTCCAAGAGCCAGAGAAGCGAGAGTGATGGCCTGAACAAACATCTTGGTAGCTCTTGAATTCGATGAGGATGTGGGAAAGATGTTGAGGTGCTCTTCGAAGCGGTCTTGATTGTTCGTTCGTTATTGAGAAGTCGAAATGTTCAGGTGACGAACTTCATTGTCCTGACGCGGCAGCTACCAGTTCATATACCTTTGTTCAGCTGCTCTTGGCCCACGATATTCGCAGCGCCACCACCAGTATCATACTGTTGGACGCTACCCAGGGCCTGGCGCAAGTGTCTGCGGAATCCTTCGAGGCAGTTATCTGGATCGCCGCTGGAGGCCTCACCGGTCACATGGCGCCATCATTTCACGCCTAAGGCTGGCGATGCTCTACCTGGACCCAAAGTGGGTTTTCCAGTCCGTCTTGACCAGTCATAGCGATGGTGGAGCGGGTGGCTCACGAAAAGTCTCTCGACGGTACCCACATTAAAGTTTTCCGCACATGAGGCTGAGCGCTAGTGCCACCAGAAATATCCACCAAGAGAAAATAACCGAGCTGTGAAGACCTGTTTGATCAAAATCTGGTTTAGCGTACGTCTTCACATGCAGGGATGCTGCTCCGCCAGCGACTTCAATCCTGACTTCACTTCCCTTTGCGCTCTCTAGCCGCGACAAGTATCAGTGGAGTGATCGCAGCCAGCACAATCAGCCACCGCCAGCTGAAGCGCCTCTCCAGACAGCGACGCTCGAAACAAAGCAAGCTTTTCTCAAACTGCAAGAAAGAAGATGCGCCCCGCGACAAATTTGGCGCCCTATTCTCTTGGCCTTCGGTGGAGTGGCTTCCACGGCCCGTTTAGTTCCAGTGACTTCGTCTTGGTTACCCTTTGGTGCCTGGCATCGTCGACTGAAGGAACGCTATCGTCACAGTTCAGACCACAGGCCGCCTGCTCAGGCACCCATAGCCTTGGATTGGTATAGGCAGACCTCATCCTGCTTCCGCCGTATGCGGCTGGGCCGACGTAGCGCTTCATCGTAGGCTGGCCCCAGGTTATGTAACGGAGATGCTAGCTCATGCACGACACCGTTCGAATTGGGTGTTCCTTCGGTGACTCTTCTTGATCAGGCGGCCTACAATCAAATGCGACCACAGCCTCGGGCTGCGCGCTGGAAACCGGTTGTACTTTGCCCGGTTTGTGACTTTGAAAATACGTCTCTGGTCGTCCAAATTGAGAAGATCCACATGGGGTGGACTCTTCTGCGATGGCGTACAAGCTGCAGCACATGTCTGGCGCTCGTTCTCGCCTACATCGACCAGGTGGTTGACAACGGCGACACTGGTGACCGCAAATCATCGCGCATATTCGTCTGCTGCTCTTTTGGTGGCTCTCAAATGCTGCTCATTTCAGGGGGCAAGTACTTCGCATCCAATTCGACGCTTTCATTTCCAAGAGGCAGCTCCAGTGGCACTGATGGTACTTCTAGCTCATGCAATGTATAGCATCCATCCTGTCCGTCCTGTCCCGAGGCAGAAATATCGCCAGTTGGCGAAGATCCGTGTTTTTCGTTGCTTTCCTGGTTGGCCTGCTCATTGGCGACCCTGTGACGTGTGAATCTCAACAAAAACACCAGTATGCCCGTGGTAAGAAGCGCCGCAACGCTTATTCCTACTCCGATGCCCGCTTTTGTTCCTCCAGAAAGACCTTTTGGATTTGATGCGTGCAGAACGTCAGTCGCTTGCATGCCTGCGCCTCTCGTCGTTGTGTTGGTGGATATTGTGCTTGGAATATCGGGATTGCAATGCTGGGTCGCCCGCAGGTATGCTTGGCGATTGCCAGTGATCGCGACCGTCATGGGTGCGACTGATGCTGAGAACGTGCCAGTACCTGGATTCCAGGTCGACGCGATGCCGTACATATCGAGAGTGCCATATACGCTGCAGGCGGCGGACTTTGGGCTGCTCTGCGAGAAAGAGCAACCCAGTGAAAATGAGTCGATATCGCCGCTCTTGTCGGTGAAGTGGTTCAGAATCCACGTGCTCTGCAATATAGGTCAGCCAATGGTCGACCGTGACGTCCAGTGATTATACTGTATAATTGCCACTAATACATGCACCGTCGCTGGTACATGTCACTCTGTATGTGGTCAGATACGAAGTAGCAGTCATGAACACTCCTGCATATCCTGAAGAAAATGAACCAGATGCCAGAAATGTCGCCGTAGGAGTTCCATCGAGGGCGATTGCTGGTTCTGTTGAACTGCTGGCCACAAATTGCACGCCGATGAAGATATTCGAGAAGGTCAATAGTAGCATTGCTGCACGGACGCAGGTTTATTTGAATGCAAGCTTGGGGCAATCCTGAGCCGATCAAGAAGGACATCAGTCAGATATCGTGCGCTCAAGTGGCGAGTGCAGTCTTTGATTGAGATTTACCAGCGCTTATCTCGTAACGCAATAGTGGCACCTCGGTCCAAAATGCGTTGCGTTGGGCCTCTTAAAAGGTCTCCAGCAAGTATCCGCTTGTGTCCCAGTCTGCGTAACGATGATCGAGCCTTACGGACGACAATAGCTCGTACACCACAAGCTCATCGGGAGTCCACACTCCGGCGATAGTCTCCTTAATATGCCGCACGACCCTTCATTTTCCCTGACACGACATGGATTCGCCAAAGTCGCACACACGAGCTGAAGTAACACCTCTTTCGTTTTACCATGCACGGCGGAACTGGCGACCCAAGGTGACTTGCCAAACGTCTTAGAGCTCTACCACGCAGACGCTTCTCTCAGAGAAGACCACGTTCCAAGAAGTCAGCAACTCCATCATAGACCTAGCAACAACGTTAGCATGATTCGCAAACGGTTGTGGCGATAGCAAATGATAGCACCTGATGAGCACTTTCCATTCTCGTCACCCACCAAGCCAAAGGCGCCTGGACAGGCAAGTGAATCGACTCAGAAACCTTATTAGTAACCCCCTCGCCCAATCAAAGCACCTCGCAGTGTGGACGTCACCACAACCCGCGAACCTGTGATACCGTTTGGTCGCACTGACCTGTCAGTTCCCAACCCAGTACAACCTCTGCACGACCTACCCAACCAGCCGTCCCACAATGCCATCAACCCTCCTCTTCAACATCCTCCACACAATCTACCCCCTCCAAAACCCCAACAAAACCCGCGACAGACCTTTGGAAGTCCTCGCCGTAGGCCTCTCGCGAACAGGAACCGACTCACTGCGTCAAGCCCTTCTGGAAGTAGGCTATCAAAACGTCTACCACGGCTTCAGCTACGGCGCTTCGCCCAATGATTGCATCCAGTGGATCCGTCTCGGGCAGGCGCAGGAAAGGGGCGATAAATCCTTCCTTAATGCGAAGGAATTCGATCGGATTCTGGGAGACTGTGATGCCGTGACGGATATCCCTCCTGCAGGCTTTGCAAACGAGCTCCTGGATGCGTTTCCCGATGCCAAGGTTATTCTCAATTATCGCGAAGATGTTGATGCGTGGGTGACGAGTTGCCTCAATTCGATTGAAACGACCTCTGGGTCTGGGCAGCCGTGGTATGAGTACTTCCTGAGTTACTTCGGATCTTCTTTGTTCTTCCGGCAGTGGAGCTATTGGTACGTCTGGGCGAGATATTTCGGTGGAGACTTCCGACGGAATGGGAAGGCTTGGTATCTTCGACATTATCGAGACTTGGAGACGAAACTGGAGGGGAGGAAGTACCTCAAGTGGAAGGCTGAAGATGGGTGGGAGCCGTTATGCAAATTCCTCGACAAGACTGTGCCGCTGGGTCCGTTCCCTCATGGCAATGCTCCGGAAGAGTTCTTCAAAACCGTGGAAGTCTACAAAGCGGAATGGACGAGCAGGTCTGAGAAGAACATGCGCTTGATCGGTGGGATCCTGGCCTCGGTGATTGTTGGTGTTGTCGGGTTTGCATACGCTCGTTCATAAGGCAGTTGAGGTGGGCTGCGTTTTAGTCTTAATGGAAAGTTTCTGAGGCACTGAAGAACAAAGTGATACATCTGCATTTCGTTACAAAATGAAGAAAGAATCGACTTACGTCTTACCACGTTCGAGTGCACCAGTGGGCTCTCAAGAACGGGGGCGAGGTGCTTCAACTCCCTTACCTGATGGAGGTAGGAGAGGATGCTCTCTCTGAACAGCTTCATCCTCTAGGCGATTGCCTTGAGAGGATGCATACAGATTATCAGAGCTTCACCCTCATGACCGTAGTCTTGAGGGGATGCATGCAAATTATCGCAGCTTCACCCTCCCGGCTATTGCCTTGAGGGAATGCATCAACATCGCAATAGCCTCACTCTCCTGGCCAGAAGCCCTGAGAGGACGCAGGTTGGATGTGACAGCTTAGCTTTCCTGACCGAAGTCTCGGAAGAATGCTGAAAGTTATGATCTGCCGGTTGGCGGTCAGATCGGGCCCGGAGGCGCTTCTCGTGTCGTAAAACACGAGCGACAAGGTGCTAGAAGGGACTGTCCGTGGTGGCCCCACGGTACCTGGAGTTAAGAAGCTGTGGAGTCAGTGAGCACCACCGTCACCGCCCTGCTGCTGAGCGTGCCCAGCAACAGAATGGCTCGTGGCGTTCTGCTGTAATGTTGCAGCAGTGTCCGATATTAAAGCTGACAGCGAGATCGAATAACCCATCTGCTCCAGGCGTTAGCTGAAAGCATCCACGAGGCAGGAATTATCTCAATGAATGATAAGTGTCCACATACCAAAACATCTGCCGCGTTACTGTCAGCAGCGTTGCGCAGGGGTAGGTATCGCTCAGCCGCTTCAAGGCGTTCGTTAAGTTTCCTGGTTTGACATCAGCATAGAGCGGAGATGCAGAAGTAATGAAATCAGACCTCGCATCCTCGAGACACTCTACCGACACTCCAGCACGGCGCTTCTTCAACAAGACGGCAGCTGTGCACATCTCCACTGCCTCAGCTTTCACCAAGTCGTACTCAGTCCAGTTAGAGATCGACGCATCGGGGTTAGGTGGTGGCACAGATGCTATAGATGGCATCGAATAGTCTGCCATCTTCTTGCGGAAAAAAAGGTGCCTTTGGGTCTCATCAGCCACGAACATCGATAAATCAATAGCCATGGATTGCTTACGCCAAAGATTCTGACCAGTACATCTTCTGCTCCCGATCGTTGTTATTCTTGTAGTGGGTGAAAAAGTCCCAGAAAAGGAGAGTTGCCTTGTGAATTAATTCGTATTCCCTGGCGTCTCTGATGGGCGCGGTCGGCAAAGCAGGGTCGTGACGATGCCGGTGTCTGTTAGGCAAATATTGCTTGACCTCCTCGAGATAGTTAAACAGCCTCCTGTCACCCAAAAAGATCAGTATGATAATGATGAAACAAAGACAAAATCGTAGGCAACAAACATAAACTGTGTTATCCAGTGTCTAGACTGGACAGGGTCGTTCTTGGACCTCGCGGCCCGAGCCTCCAATTCCTCGAGTTGGTCCCTCCCAGACTGGTATTCCTCCCAAGTTGCAATCCGCGGGAGAGCCTCTCCCTGGTTACGCGCCGACTCGTCGTCATAGCGGTTATGGTAGCTGCTCGTGGGTTGAGCAAATTCTTGGTTATGCGAGGCACTTGCTGGTCGAGCATGCTGCCGGTTATGCTGGTCGCTCTCGGGGCGAGCATCTTGGTGGTTAAATCGGCCTTGGTCTTGGGGCCGTGAGGTTAAAGGTGGCTGGTGTCGCCGGAAGTTGTTGGATCGTCCGTCCATCTTGATTATACGTCTGAAGAGGAAGACGAGCGGGAGGGGCGATGTTGTTGATGATGTGAAGAGGGACGAGGAGGAAGGAGCCAATGTCGGTTGCTACGAGAAGGCGCGACGCAACCCGGCTGTTCGGGCCGAAGTTCCCGGATTTGTGCCTCAGGCCTCAAGCTGGCAGATGTCAATGTTGAGGGTGATGAGATGCGAGCATAGGTCTAGATCATTCAGCATTTGTCTATTGAAATGTCTTCTTGTTCTTCTCACATCACTCATATATCAATCATTCATAAAACCCGACCCAGCACTTGAGCGAGAGATCAAAAAGAACACCACCCCACCCGAAACTCCAATGCTAAATGTCTCAAACCAAAGCGGGTATCCAAAAAGTGCCAATCCAAAGCGAACGATGCTCAAGCAAATAAACAATGCACCCGCGAAACTCCCATAATCATCATATCGTCGTTCTGTGTCGAGACCAGTCGATCTGGTGTATGCTATGCTTTTGCTCAGTCGCGACTTCCTCCACAACTCAACATCCTCGTCTGGACCCATGTTGAGAAGCGCAGCCAGCCGCCGTCTTTGGCGTCTGGACGGGGGGTGTGGCTGAACTGAGGGCCTTTCTCGTTCAGTCTTCTTTCGCTCTCGCCGGGTGAGCTCCCGTGTCGTGGCAGCATTGCCGGTCGTTGCTCCTCATAACTCATGGCTTGGAAGTCGTGGCCGCGATGTCTCTTCTCATCTTCAGCACCGGCGTGGGCTGCTGAATCCTTCCGGGGCTTCTTCTCCTGCTTCATGGCGGACTTCAATGACGGCTCTGACTTCTGTCGCTGCCGCTCTTGAATCTTCGCTTCGGATGCACGACGCTTGCCGGCGTCCTTTTCATGTTTGCGATCTTTGTTCGCCTCCTTTTCCTCAAACTTCCTCCTCGCCTCTCGAATCATCTCCTCCCGTGTCTGCGGTTCAAGTTCAGACCTCTTCGCAAAGCTAAAGGCCTTGTCGAAGGATGTCCGAGACGACGGCGAGGGTACGTACTCCTGCGACCGGTCTGTGTTCCGTCGAGGCCGTCCAGTCGAAGATTGTGCTGATTTGAGGGATAGATTTGTCTGCGAGCTGCTGGTCAACTTCGGCACCAACCCCAGATCACTGGCGGTATGTGATTGAGACAACGGCGTTGGTTGGGGCGTCGACGATATCGATATACTCCTCCTTGTCCTGAATCCACCCCCAAGCCTAAACTCATCCTCCACAACATCATCACTCTCGTCCGCTTCATTCTCATTGATCGAATTCGCATAGCTCCCGGTCGGCGGCGTATACGGTCGTGGAGTCTTGGCCATGGGATGTGTGAAAGGCTGTCCCGCCCTAAACCCACCACTCCCAGTACTCCCCTGCGACGCACCACTCGTCGTCCTTCCATGCTGTGGCTGCCCTCTCCTCGTATGCGCAAAGCTCACATCCGCCGCAGACTTGGACCCAAAATCCTGTATCCCCAACCCATTCAGCCTCTCATTCTCCGCGGCACTCTTCGATAGATCAATCATTCCCTGATCCTCCTTCGCAACCGACATCTTCCTCAAGTACGGCTTGATTTGGGGCACACTCGACCCCGGCGTCGGCGCGACCTCAGGAAACGACTCTTCATACGTCGCGAAAGGCGTCTGGAATTGTGCATTTGTAAAGGGAGACGGTGGCCCGGGCAACGAAGACGCGGAGCCTCCGCGCTTGTGTAACTTGGCATGGTTTCCAGTAGATGAAGACTTGATCAAGGGACTCGAAGACGGGAACGACATATCGGTATGGTCTCTCAACTTCTGCCTGGAACTGGTCCGAGGCGGCCGGTGTGCCTCAGAAGACATGGGCGAGGCGCTGTTCTCATCACGGGATAGACTCGATTTGGAGGGCAAGTTGCGAGTCGCGAGGGTGAGTTTGACAGGTGAACTGATGGAAGGCGAGGGCCTGTCATCGTTGCGAGCGGCAGTGCGCATAAACGAGCCGGGCGGCGGCATATTGAGGGACGGAGGACATGTGCTGGTAATCGTGGCTCATCACCAGACCGAGACGCGCACTGCCTGACGCGGATTCAGCTGTGCCGGGGGCGAGTTATGCTGAGTAACTCTGAGGGTGAGTGTAAGGATAAGTATATCGATGTTGCGGCGTAGTGTTGTATGTCAGTCGCTAAGGTATATCAATGTCTCGCATCGACCGGTAGAGTCGGATGGATGTGTTCGGTGGGAGATTGTTTGCGGTCGTCGGCGCAACCAATCAACAGCCCCACGCTGGGGTAGACGCTGATCACCGTTCGGACTCGACGGACGACTTTACATCATCCACGGTCGCATGGCCGATCTTGTGACGCTGTCTGTCTCTGATGGAGAGCCCGCACTGACGAAACGACGACGGTGTGAGAGGGAGAAGGCGGACGAGGGCGAGGGAATGGCAGCAGATATCCCATCCTGGCTGAGCATTGGCAGCAGAGATCTGGGCCCGCAAACAGCCACCGACACTCCTCTACCTGACCAACGGATGGCCCGGCACTCCTCTCTGCACTTCGCTATCACCAACCAGGCCTTTCTCCCGTTCGCGGCGTCTATTTCGGCGAATGAAATTCACCTCCCTCTGGCGTAGACACGCCTACGCACTCACATCAGCACAGCTACTCAGAATCATCTACCGCACGCCTTCCCCCTTCCGCACTACATTATCCCTTTCAGTCCGTCTCGGCCGCCCTGGAACCGCCCGGCTGCTACAGGCTGGTACAAGAATCATATTGACCCCTGCTAGCTGAAAGCCTAATTTTGTGAGCAAGAAGTCGACTGTTAGATGAAGCTCGGACATTCTTTGTGTGCAAGACGCTAGCAGGGGTCAATCCCTTTATTGCACCAGCCTGTATATCATCAACCAACTGCGAGACGCTGATATCAGTATATCACTTCTCCGCATATCCGCCTGCTACGACAACCCTCCCCCACATTCCATCAGACAATGCCCTGCAACAGACAATGGAAAATTTCCCTACGCAAGCATCTCATGTCGTGTACTCTCGTATCCCCATTCAACGATCGGAGACCGGCAGACGCACCAGCATTGTCCTGCAAGTTCGGACCCGACCCAAGCTTGATTGTGCTGTGATTCGACGCACTTGCATAGCTCACCTGCAGCTACGTACCACCGTACCAATCCCCTCCACGCTGCGCCATGTGCTCAACGGTGAAGGAGAGTGGAGAGGCCGTCGGGAAGGTCAACGTCCGTGATGCTTGCGTGTTTGATGAAATTTCGAGGTCTGGAATGCGAGGTCATTGTGACCACGTGAGGTTGATGAAACCGGCAGTCGAGTTTCAAGATGCTGGGAGATGTTGCTTTGTGCGTGTTTTGGCCAGGTTTGACGTGTGACGTGCCAGTTTGACAGGAGTCGCTGGAGTAACGACACTCCTCATCACAGCAGGCTCCATCAAACTCCACGAAAACAAGCCTCAGACGTTGTTTGGAATCACAGTCTCAAACGGCTGTACAAGATCAGGTGAGAGAAAGAGTCACGTCGACAGGTAAGTCTCTTTCTCCAAACTTCTCCAAGTTTCTCCTCCTTCTCCTCCTTCTCCTCCACGCAAACACAAGCACTATCCTGGTTCTTCACCATCTCCAGCTGATTCATACACATTACAAACCTACTGTACTACGACTTCAAAGCAAGCCTACCATGCAAAGTCAGCAGTTGGAGAACTCGCCTCAGGCAGACCACCTGGAAGAAGCCAACCAAGAGAGCCATACCCGACATTGTGTTGATCTAGAGGCACTACAACAGGTACAATGTGGAATCATGAGGCATGTACTCATCGATTTCCTTTCCTTTCGATGGGTTTAATATCTCGCTCGTTCGACTCCCCCAGCGGTCTTTTTCTTTCGCCTCACTTCCTAGAAAAACACCATGTCTGAATCTACGCACTACGACCTCGTCTGTCTAGGCTCAGGCGAAGCCGCAAAAGTTCTCGCCTGGCACCACGCCTCCACCCAGAAGAAACGCTGTGCCGTCATCGAACGCAGCATGTTGGGAGGATCCTGTCCGAATGTAGCATGTCTGCCTAGCAAGAACTTGCTTTACTCAGCCAAGGTCGCTCATCTTGCTCGCGAAGGGACGCAATTCGGTTTGACTTCTCACGTGGGTGAGGTTGATTATGGCGTGGTGAAGAAGAGGAAGGATGAGATGGTGAAGGGGTTGCTGGATCTGCATCGGCGGATGTTTGAGGAGAATGGCGTGGAGTTGATTTGGGGGGAGGGGAAGTTCGTTGGTGAGAGGACAATTGAAGTCACGAGTGCAGATGGAGGAAAGAGGATCGTCACTGCTGATATCGTGCTCGTCAACACCGGCTCGAGGGCAAAGATCCCCAACAACATCCCAGGACTCATCGAAGTAAAGCCCTGACGCACGTCGGACTCCTTGATCTAGAAGAATTGCCTCGCCATCTTATCGTACTAGGCGGTGGCTACATAGGTCTGGAGCTCGCCCAAGCCATGAAGCGACTCGGAGCACAGGTCACCGTAATCGAACGAGGCCCTCGAATCCTCAAAAACGAAGACGCCGACGTCGCAGACCTCCTCCAAGAAATCCTCATGGAAGAGGGCGTCGTCTTCCACACCTCCACAACAATCACCCGCATCCAAGGCCATTCAGGAGACGAAGTAGTCCTCAACCTCTCGACCCCCTCCAGCGAGATCACCTCACTAGAAGGCACCCACATCCTCACCGCAACAGGCCGCACCCCCAACACCTCCCTCATCGGCCTCGACCTCGCAAACATCCAAACCACGCCCTCCGGCCACATCCTCGTAGACGAACACAACCGCACCACCGCCCCCCACGTCTACGCAGCAGGCGACTGCGCCGGCTCGCCATACTTCACACACATGGGTCTCGACGACTTTCGCATCCTTCGAGACATCCTCTCCGGGAAACAAGTCGACGGTGAAGAGAAAATGAGATCTACACGACAGGTCCCTTCAAGCCTCTTCACGGACCCAGAGATCGCTCATGTCGGGTTGAGGGAGCATGAAGCGAAGGCTCAGGGCGTGGGATTTCGACTTGCGAGACTGCCGATGGATATGTTCCTGCGGTCGCGGACGATGGAGAAAGGCGCCACGAGGGGGTTCGCGAAGGCGTTAATCAGTGTGGAAGACGATACGATTCTAGGATTCACGGCGATCGGACCACACGCGGGGGAATTCCTGCCCGTCGTACAACTGGCGATGGAGAAGCAACTTCCCTATACAGACCTCAGCGACCTTATCCTCGTACACCCAACACTGAACGAAGGTCTGGGGATGTTATTCGACAACGTCCCGAGCACATGATATAGAAACCACCCAACTACATTACTTGCTCGCTCTTCAAGAAACCGCCCCCGCCTGCTCCCACCTCCCACAATTCCCATTCCCAATAACCTCATACGCCCCTCCATCCCCCAACGTAAACCTACCCCCCACATACCCCGGATCGCACTACGAATTCCCATTAATCATGCCGAGACACTGCTGCGAGTCGCCGTTGACCTGTCACTGCCAGCCCGCACACCCATTCGAGTCCTGGCAGCGTTGGCAGCATTCGATGTGGTCTGCGGCGTTTTCTATGGCGTAGATGTTCACTGTGGGAACGACGAGGCGCAGGCCTTGGCCGGAGATGGTTTCGACGAGGTTGTTGAAGGCGCAGGCGGCGTAGTGGGTTGCGGCGGGGGCGATGATCCCGGTGTTGGTCGTGCTTGTTGTGGTGCTTGTTGCTGTGGTTGTCTGAGAGGGATTGTTAGCAGGAGAAGTCTAGTCTTGAGTGAAAATATTCCTACTCACCACTGTGCTAGTCCCGCCAGGCAACGTGCTTGTCTTCGCGGCAACGGTCGTCGTAGTCGTTGAACTCGCCGTCAGAACATTCACAGCCGTGCAATATACTGTCGCAGGATACGATGAGGAGGGATCCTGTCGTTTCTGAACTTCATCCCGCTGCCAATGCCGACGGCGGTTCCTCACGACTGCCACGACTTTCTGCAGCGGATACGATGCACTCAGGGTCGACGCAATGATATCGTCCGCCATAGCTGTGAAGCCAGGCGAGGGCAGGACCGTGACAAGCGCGCCATAGTCGTTTGATGAGACGGTGGAGATGCTTGTTGTCGTTGAGGTGACCGTCGAGGTAACGAGCTTTCTGCCAAAAGATTAGCTCTTGGAAGATTGATATGTCGAGATGGTCGTACGGCTTGCCAGTAACGGTACTCGTCCCAGTTCCAGTCACTTTACTCGTTTTCACAACGGTGGTCGTCGACGAAGTCGTGGTTTGGAATGTCTGTACAACCGAAGCTGAGGTGCTTGCTGAGACGGTGTTGCAAGTCGTAGTCTTCGCCGCTTCAACCAGACAGGAAGCGAGTCCTAACACCGCACAAAGCAAAGAGGTCGTATTGGTTGCGAGCTTCATATTCGCTGTTACTGCTCCTCCCCCAAGACATGGCTTCGCCGAGTTATATCTTCGCCGTTTAAGCACTCTGTGATGTTGCTTGACCGCTTTCTTCATTCTGGCGAGACCGTATTCCACGCCAGCCACGATGCCACACATGTCCGCTTGGCTCGTCTACGAAATATCTCGAATGGTCTCTTTCTACTGAGAGTCCATGACCGCAGCAGCCACTCGTGGTGGCTTGATGGTCTGATCTGATCCTTGGTTGAAAGTGACTTTTGCCGGCAGGCAGGAATTTGATGGAGCCAACCAGACTGCCGAATGCAGGGTCAGTAGTCCGTATTGGTCGCATCTAGCCTCTAGAAGGACTGATTGTAGAGTGGGAAGTCTCCATCGTGGGCCTTGTGGCTTGCTGAAGTCGGGCTGGAGTCTGCAAAGGAGAACTTTGTTCGGTTCGTATCAGCTGATCGGTAGCTCACTCCTGACGGATTTGTTCCTCTTTTCTCAAACAGCACAATTCCTCCCTGAAGTTGTTGTGCTGCGGTCGAATTTTCGCGCTTAGTTGCATAGCATGCCTGCTGTTGTGCATTTGCGAATTGTCACCAATGGTCATGCTGGATCTTGAACTCCTTGAGCGAGTTGATGCTCATGCAAGCTCATTCTCCCTCTTTCAAGATTCGCCCATAACAGCCTCCAGCATACCAATCAAAGTCTTCTTGCTCACCTCAACGTCGCCTCTCTCATTTAACAATTCATCCACTGGATCAGAGAAGTAACAGGCCTCCGCCCGTCCATGCACCGGTCTCCAGCACGTATCATACACCACATGTCGATACATGAGCAAAGCCTTCTTCGCCGTCTCCCGCTCAAAACCAAGCCCAAGTCTCAGCTTCTCCAGCCGATCCTCAGCCGTGATGTTATCCACCCGCCAAACAGTCTTCCAAGGCGCGATCTCCTGCAATCGATCATCTCTCTCTTCATGCTTGTCCAATTCCACCGTAACATGCCTCTTGCACTTTCCAGTCTTGTAGGGGGGGGTCGAGTTGTATACACCTCCGGTTGCATTCGTTCACGCCGTCTTCGAAGAACGAACACGGTCCTGGCCCGCCATGCCAGCCCTTGAACAGGTGTCCCTCGCGATATTGCCGATGAAAACATTTTCCAGATCCGTTCATGATCCATTTGCGTATGCATTTCGTATTCTCCTGGCCAAGAGCATCCACAAATCTTTCCATATCCCCTCGTGTAAAGTCCGCAAACATAAAGCAGATCTTACTGATAGGCGGTACTTCAAGAACAAGATTCCTCAGTTCAGCACGTATCTGCCTGCAGACCCACGGTACGGAGAACAGAGCAGTATAATGTTCGCATTCTTCCTGCTGCTTCTCTGCGCTTCCTGTGAGTGCGAATACCAATTCAAACCAATGCTCTTGACCGTTGTCGGAGACGTGGATTGATAGACCTGGCTTCGGGCCTCGGATCTGGCTGCTTTTGTCGTAGTATACGAGCGGCTTTCGTTGGCGGTGCTCGAAGGGTGCGAAGACGTAGTCGTAAATCTCGAGGCGTAGCTCGGTTGGGAGGCCAAGAAGCGACGCTCGCGGTGGGTTGTCGTTAGAAGGAGGGTGGCTGCTGGTGTTCATGACTAGCTGCTGTAGCTCAAGAGGTAGTTTGAGATGAAGTCGTCAAGAGAAGAAGTGCTTGAAACAAGAATGAAGTGACTCCCGAGATGCGTCGGGAGTTGATGCCTACGCAGGATTGTTCTCCAGCTGTGAAGATCACAGCGGATGTTGCCAAGAAAAAGACGATACTCGCATTGACAGCAAGTGCTCCAAAGTATGACTATGTTGCTGCCATGATCGATAATATGTTCAACAAGTAAGGAGATGTCGAGAAGAAGAGGTGAAGTGGAAGGCTGAAGGACCGTGCATTGTCGGCAACTGACGGCAAGTGAGGGAGTTGCCGATGCATTCACTCACCCTCTCCCAACTTCAAACCATCTCCTTCAATGCGACTGGCTCAACAAACCCGCCTTGCTAAACCTCTCCCGAATCGCCTTCGTAGCATGACTATCCAAAAACTCCTCAATATGCGTAATCTTCCTCCCGCTCTCATCAAACGTAAAGAACCAGACATACTCGTTTTCAAACTTTCCTGCGTCCGTCATGGCGGTCATTGAGGAACGACAGACGGCGCGACGGTCTACTGGGGCGGCGACGAAGTCGTTGATGGTCATCTTGGAATCATCAGCTCCTACGCATATGGTTTGGGGCGATGAGAGGACTTACCACAGCTTCGCGAACAAGCGGCGCAACCCTCTTGAAGTATGTCTCAAAGTCGTCGTTGCTCCTGGCGGGGATTCCCAGAGATACGGGTAGCATAACATGTTTGCATTCAGGAGATCTGTAAGATAGAGTCGCGCCTTCTTCCCATTGTCCTTCGAAGTCGTGGAGAAAGCCTTCCGTCGTTGCCCGCATGGCTGCGGTGAGGTCTGAAGACATGATGGTGACTTGGCGGGATTTGGCTCAGGCTGTGATAGACTCGCGAAATGGTCTTCAAGATTGGTTCATTGCATATAATGTTCTGTACTTGAATCTAACGATGGTGATTGTCTCGGCCGGCTTCGCGCTGAAGAGACGCAGTAAAGTTCATCCGGTCCATTCCAAAGACCGATTATCGCCGTCTTGATTGAATCGCAAAGTATCTATTGGAATAGGCAAGCGTTGCTCGCTTGAAAAGGGGTACAAGGCGCTCAATGGCCTCATAAGATGCTCTGCTTGGAAGATCAACCCCAAATTTACGATATAAAAATGCTTCTCGTTATGGTCTATCCACACCTGCTCCTCGCCATGTCGTACATATCACAACTTCGTCTGTTCAGAGCTGTGAGACTCCTGCAGCTTTCGACGCAAGATCTTGCCAGATGGGTTTCTGGGAAGCTCGTCCATGAAGATGACTCCACCTTCGAGCCACTTGTGCTTTGAAAGCTTGCTCTGGACGTGTTTGATGATCTGGTCTTCTGTGAGAGAATCGCTCTTTCGTACGATGAATGCTCTCGGATATTCGTAGCCGTCGTTTCTGTGGGACGTTGGCCTGATATAGAATGTGATGTGGCGTACTTACTTCTTGTGCCCAACAACGGCTGCATCTTGCACATCGTCGCGTTCCAGTAGAACTCCTTCGATCTCAGCTGGTGCCTAGGAGCAGAAACAAAGCATTAGCATCTGTCGCCAGTATCGTGTTTTCTATCAATGACTTGCCACTTGAAGCCCCTTGACTTTGATAAGATCCTACAACAAGGTTAGCGACGGTCTCTTCGCTCCCATTTAGCTAGACTGACCTTCAGACGATCCACGATATACCAGCGCCCCTTCTCATCGCAATACCCAATATCACCCGAGCACAGCCACCGCTTGCCATCTTCATGAATAATCGTATCGTCGGTAGCCTTCTTGTTCTTGTAATACCCCTTCATGATGTTCGGCCCAGACCACATCAGTTCACCAATCTCATGCTTGATACCCAAATGACTGAAATCGCGATCCTCAACCGCTCGAACTTTGCCTGCCATGTTGGGGTATAGTCGACCAATCGAGTTGCCTTCATCGTCGTGCTCATCCGGTTCCCAGTTCGTCGCGGCAGTCGTGCATTCTGTCATTCCGTAGCCTTGCCGTACGACGAATCCAGGCCGAAGAAGCTTCTGAACGTCATCTTTCGTGTCCTGTGAGAGTGGCGAGGATCCGCAGATGATGTCTTCGATGGCGTTCCAGTTGTATAGAGGGGAGCGCTTATTCTTAGCGATCATGACCATGATCGTGGGGACCGAGGTCATTCGGGTTATTCGGTATATGTCGTTGTAAAGCATGTACTTCTCCATGGTGTATTGTCTCATTACGTAGACTTTCGCACCAGTCAAAGGCGCAAGCATGCAGAATTGAGTTTGGCCCTGCCAGTAATCAGCATCAACTCTACGCGGTGGAACATCGACTTACGAAAGCGTGATACATGGGTATGTTCGCGAGCCATCGATGACCGTTCTCATCTAGTCTTTGAGCTCTCTGCTTACCAGCTTTGGTTATGCCAACTTTCATATGCTTCCAAAACGACTGAACGTTGTTCGCAACAAGGTTGTAATGGCTGATCTCTACGCCCTTGGGAAGGCCAGTCGTCCTGACACAACGTTAGACAAGTTCTCCATAGTATATAACATTACTTACCCGCTCGAATAGTTGATGACAGCAGTCGTATTCATAGCTTCGTCCTTCGTACTGAACGATCGCCAGTGAAAGTCCTTGACCTCCTCTTCGGGTACCCACAAATCTCGCCATGAAAGCACTCCATGAGATCTGGCAAGAACTTCATCTTCCGGGGTATTGGCAAAAGCAACCACACTCGCCTTTGGCAGTCCAGCTTGAGCAGCCCCTTTGATTGCATGCTCGAGTTTGTCTGGGGCAGCAACAACTAGTCTGGCCTCTGAGTTTTTCACCTGATAAGCCAGTTCAGATGGTAATGCCGCCCCCGTTATGCCAGTAAAGACACAGCTAGCTGCCAACACGCCCCAGAACAGAACAGGACAGGAAAGTACAGATCATTCGGAGAGTAGAGAAGGACTTTCTCATTCGGCTTCAATCCTCGTATTTGCAGTCCTTTAGCAAATTGTTTTGCAAAGGTCTCTGCTTCCTTGACACTGAAATTTCTCGAAGGCAAATCGGCATCGAAGTATTGCGGTATCGATCTTGAGTCTTCAGTCCCAGCCGTGAAGACATACGTCGGGACATCAATGGCTGGGATGTCGACAGTGTCCTTCGCCTCGACGATGGCCATTGTGGGTGCTGTAACTCGTTCACAGGCTCAACAATATATTATGTGGCGATTTGCTTCAATCAATGTAGTAGCAACGTAGCGTGAAAGGACATTTTGGAAAGAAGAATACCCTCGGATGTCATTGGATGGAGGAGGATCCGGGCTATGCTGAAATAGGGATTTGCCGTGAATGTTGAGCCTCATGGCCGGCTTTAGGAAGTAATTTGGGCAATCCAACGGAGCGCTCTCCGCTTTAGAAGTTCTACATGTCCTTCGTAGCAGAGGATAAGTGGAAGACTTACTCCTGGGGCAGCCAAAGACGCCTGATCTCGCATGTATGCTTCAAAGACTTCACAGAGGCTGCGATTTGCAACCTACGTTATTGAATACCCCGTGTGCGAGTTGGTGGGGAGATGAGCTGTATGTCCTGGCCTGCAAGAGTGCCGTCTCCGTGGAATCGTTCATTCCTTCTCTTATTGCGATTAATCCTTCTCGGGCCATCTCTTGTGGAAAACGTATCGTCATGTACTGCCAAATCGAACCCGGCAGGCACACAATGCGATGGATGATAGCATCCTCGTTGAACGGCGTAAATGACCAACACATTCGAGGCTTTGTACCCGATCTTAGAAGGTAGAATGGGGCTTGGATGGAAGTACAGCACCGCAGAGCTGATATGCATGTCCCGTAGTCATCGATACGCTTCTCGGGCCTTGCGCAGACCATTCGATCGAACTCCAAGGACATTTTGTGTTGCTCGTCGCGAAGAGAGTGTTGACGCGTCTGGACATGCTGCCGGCTCTTCGGCGGCGCGTCATGCGCTGTCCGCGGGCAAATCGCTGTGAACCATCATCAAGTGCTCATAGACGGCCATAGCAGGCATCGTCTGCTTCATCTGATATGTTGCTGTAAAGTTATGAGGGTTTTGTGTGTGCAGAAGGATGTTGCGAAGTGAGGTCAAGTTTGGGACCTGCCCGCTGACCGGCTTCTTCCGAACTCCTTCACAGCAACATTCAACTTCGCGCTCACACCTCACTTTACTTTATTCGCTATATTTCATTGATGCGAATGAATCGATCAGTGCAGGTCACCGTGTAAAATAACAGATCGGCAAGGGGTTTGGCCACTCCTTGCCGCACATTCACAAAAGCCGCATAATCCGTGGCAATGAGGTATCGCGCGTCATAGCCTGCTATAAACCTGGATTGTCTCAAAATGTGTTTTCCATCGAAAACTCCCTTCAATAACATCAACAGCCCACCATGACGACAGCAGCAGTCTTCGGATCCACTGGCGCAGTCGGAAGACACATTCTCAGCACTCTGCTTGCTACCGACTCCATCTCCTCGGTCAAGACGATTTCACGACGCCTCCCAGCAACCCAATCGCCTAAGCTCGAGGCCATCCAAGAAGCAGATTCATCAAAATGGAGTAGCATGATTGCCAATCTCAACCACAAACCTTCGGTGGTCATCAACGCGGTGGGCACAACTAAAGCCACAGCAGGTGGTGTTGAAAATCAGTGGAAGATCGATCACGACTTATGCATCGAGATCGCCAAAGCTGCAAAAGAAGCCGGCGTGACGACTTTTGTCTTCATTTCCAGTGCCGGAACGCGTAGCTACCTCACTAGCGGCATTCCTTATAGCAAGATGAAGGTTGGAGTCGAAGACGCCATCAAGGAACTGGATTTCGAGCAAGCCATCATCATGAGGCCTGGCATGATCCTTGGCGAGAGAGAAGTTCCCAAAGCACCATTCTGGGAGAAGGTGATTGGCAACATCCACAAGATCAGTCCTGGCTTGCAGGATGCCATTGGTAGGTGGATGTCATGTAGAATCTTTGACGTGCAGTATTGACGAGAGTGATAGGTCAGGATCAAGTAGTAATCGGAAGAGCAACCGTTGCAGCGCTGCGACTTGCACAGGAGGGCAAGGCACCATCCAAGTATTGGGTCGTCGAAAAGCCGGACATCTGCAAATTCGGTCGAGACGAGTGGAAAGAGTGAGGTGTTTTGTTGCTAAGAGGACAGCGACGATCATGTTCGACAGATGTATCTCACCATCATCACATGCACTGCAGATTTCTTGCGGGTCGACTACGATCCGAATCCGACTCGAAGAACGGACAACTCCTTCATTTTGACCGCTACATTCTAGGCACAGCCATCGGCAGATATGCGGTTCAGCGTTACGTGCGAGGCTAATATTCATGGGAATTCTCACCTTCTTCATTGGCACGCCTGTCGAGTACACGTACTGCTCGCTTTTGTGAAAGATCAACCCCACAGTGGGTCAAGCAAGTCTCATCTTGAAGTTCCAGGATTGCAGCGAATAGCCTGCGAATTTAAGATCTGCCAGACGTCTCCTGTGTCGTCCTCATTACAAGCAGAATTGCCTCGAATAAGGATCAATCGGTTGCCGGACACAGTCATATCTTTAAATGACCTCGCATTCGGGTTCAACACAGCACTCAGCTTACATTGATACACAACATTGAAAGGGGAGCGTGTACCGGGGAATTTAGCTTGCAATGACAGGTGGGGCGAGTCATCGCGTCCGACTCGGTTGGCCAGAACTAGAGCATCACTCTACAAGCGACATGCGGGACGGAACCTGCAGCTTTTTGGCGTCCAGAAGGCCGTCGGTTGCTATCTGACGACATGTCAAGCGACTACAGCTGAACTCTTCTTGTAAGAAACATTTCAGTCATTTCTAAATCCCTTGTGGACATCATTCTTACCAGCACCTCACCTTCTTGCTCGATACCGTGGCACGAGAGGCTGGAGAGACTCTTGTGACCACATCTTGAAGGCATCACACTATGTCGAACTCACAGCTCTCCTATGGTGCAGCATCGATTGCTCTAGCAACAGGCATTGCTAGCCATCTGTTCTATTTCCGCATAGGAGAACATCACATGCTCCCATGGGTCTACATACAGGTGTTCACCTTGGCCTGTGTCGTGGGCATTGCGTGTCTGATCAACTTTGGGGAAGCGACGGCACTCAGCGCAATCACCACTGTCGCTGGCCTGGCTTCATCTTGGCTGGTTGGTGTCTATGGAAGTCTGATTACATACAGGTGAGTTACCCAGTGTCTTCCCTGCATTCTTGCTAAAACTGATCCAAAGACTACTCTTCCATCCACTGAACAAGTTCCCTGGACCATGGCAAGCTCGAATCGGCGACATCTGGCTATCCACAAAGATGGGAGACATGCAAGGCTACTATTTCATCCATAACCTCCACAAAAAGTACGGCCGCTTCGTTCGAGTTGGATCAAACACACTTTCTATCACCGACCCGCAGATGATGCAGCCCGCGTATGGACCACAAGCAAAAGCAACCAAGGGCGACTGGTACGATGGACCTTATCCTCACCACAGTATGCATACGACCCGCGACAAAGCCCTTCATGATCGCCGACGACGTGTGTGGGCTCCTGCATTCAGTGATAAAGCTCTGAGAGAGTACGAAATTACCGTTCAGGAATTCAACGACAAGTTGGTCAATCGTATTGGAGAGTTTAAAGGCGAGCCGGTCAATATGACGACATGGTTCAATTTGTACAGCTTCGACGTTATGGGCCGTCTAGCTTTTGGGAAGGACTACGGAATGGTTGAAGCTGGTGAGCCTAAGCAGACCCTGCGAGAGGAATATTATACGCTGATGAAGAATTGACAGGGAAACGACACTGGGCCCTGGATCTCCTCACCGAAGGGATGGAGACTTCTGCCTTTCGACTTCCCACTTGGGTGTTCAGGGTCCTTCTTGCCATTCCAGGCGCAGCGCATGGCTACTACAAGTTCTTGAAATTCTGCGCTGACGAGGTGACGTGGCGTGTCGAGAATGGAAAATCTGTAGACAAAGACATTATTGGCTGGCTTTTGAAGGCGTATGCCAACGAGAAGCATCCAGAGGAAGATTCAATGCTTCAGGGTGATGCTCGATTGATTGTGGTTGCCGGAAGGTGGGTAACAATCAGACAAGTGGGACATCTCCATGCACTGACTAGTGACTTAGTGATACAACCTCAGCAACGCTGACATACCTCTTCTATCATCTTGCCAAAGACCCTGAAGAGCTGAAGAAGCTCCGAGACGAACTCAGACCTCTGGCGACTGGGGGTTGGAGTGATAAAGGTGATAATCCAACGTTCAGAAAGTGTGTCTCTCGACTAACTGATCCCGATCAGACATACAGCACGCCGAGCATCTGAACGGAGCCATTAATGAGACCCTTCGTCTACATCCACCTGTACCCTCCGGGCTCAAACGAAAGATCATGAAAGAGGGGGTTCAGATTGGGGACAACTTCCTCCCGGGCAACATCGATTTTTTCACTCCCCTGTATCCAATGGGTCGAGGTAAGCTATGTCTGAAGATTTGTGGAAGAGTTGACTAATTCATGGGACTTCCAGACGAGGACATTTATGCAGATGCATCATCTTTCGTGCCCGAGCGCTGGTACTCGAAACCTGAAATGATCAAACATCCAGACGCATTTGCACCATTCTCCATGGGCCCATTCAATTGCATTGGCAGGAATCGTATGTCATGACAGGCTCAAGAAGAGAATGAGATGATGCTGACCATCCTGTTAGTCGCCCGCATGGAGCTGCGAACGCTCTCGACGCAACTGTTACTAAAATACGATGTTGCCTTTGCTCCAGGTGAAGATGGGACCCGCCTCCTGACGAAGACAAAAGACCACTTCACGCTGTCGCTCGGCCAACTCGATCTTGTCTTCACACCGGCATCGAACTGAAGGTAGAATCAACAGCCAGGTCGATCGGATGTTGACCCGCAGTTAAGAATGGCGCCCGAGGAATGTGCGTATTTCCAGGGTGAATGTTCGGACAAGACCACACTTTTTGAACATCCATTAGCTCACTCCTCATTCCCATCAATCGGAAGAATTGCATTCGTTCCGACGTGGGTCTCTGAGCCGTTTCTCGGCTTCTTCACTCCCTTCCCTTTCCGTCCTATTTCCACCACCCTTTTCCAATATACAATCATCCTCTACCATCACGTCAATCGCTCTGTAGCTCTCTCGGAGATAAATCGGCCAGCAGGTACTAATTCTTCAGTTGACATGAAGTCGTCGACTCGAAAGGAAGACCCCGGATCTGTACCCCAGGCGATCCTCCAATTTGGATTGTACCCGAGGTCGTGACCTCACTCCAAACCGCATTTACCGAACCGAAGTGGTGCTTCTTAGAGCTCACGATGGTTATGATATAGCCGACTGACAAGAAAGCAAAGAGGTTTGCAAGTATTCTCCAATCTTTACGAACTTCTCATCCTCTTCATTTCCATCAACTCAGCGCTCAGAACAGACAGCACAAGCTTACGTCCAACTCATCGCTCTAGATTCACAATACAACATGTCACAAGACCCATTAACGAAAGTTCCCTTCGAGGAACCCTCATGGCTCGTCGGCCTTCCAAACCCGCTCTACAAAGAAACGCACATCAGATTCCAAAAAGCAGCGCGAGCATGGTTCGAAGAAAACTTTCTCCCATACTGCATGGAATGGGAAAACGCTGGCGAACTCCCCAAAGACCTCTTCGACAAGTTCAACCAATACAACATGCTTCTACCCAATCTCGCACCACCTCTTCCCGTCGAATGGCTACACAAGAGCGGCGTTAAGGATATTCTGGGTACGCCTATAGAAGAGTGGGATTACATTCACACTGCGATCTGGGTTGATGAGATCCATCGAAGTGGGTTGGCAGGACCGAGCTCGGGATTGACTGCTGGGTTTGCGTATGGTATTCCTCCGATCATCAAGTACGGGTCGAGACAGCTGCAAGAGAGGTTTCTGCCGGACTTTTTGACCGGGAAGAAGAGGACATGCATTGCTATTACGGAGCCTTCTGGAGGCAGTGATGTTGCGAATGTAGAGACTACTGCGGAGAAGTCGAAGGATGGTAAACACTATATCCTCAACGGCACGAAGAAGTGGATCACAAACGCTATCTGGTCAGACTACACAACCATGGCTGTGAGAACAGGCGGTGGTGGAGCTGCGGGTCTCAGTTTACTTGTGGTTCCGCTCAAGGTCGAAGGCGTCGAAATGAGAAGATTGCACTGCACTGGTTCGAAGACGGGCGGCACGACATTCATCGAACTGGAGGACGTCAAGGTACCTGTGGAGAACCTGATTGGAGAGGAAGGACGCGGCATGTTCTACGTGATGAACAACTTCAACCACGAGCGTCTTTTGATCGCTTTGGGCGTCGCTCGAACGTCCCGTGTATGTCTTTCGACCGCCATGGGCTACGTTATGAAGCGAGAGGCGTTTGGCAAGCCTCTGGTGGAACAGCCTGTCGTTCGTCACAGACTGGCGAAGGCTGGTGCTGAGTTGGAGATGCTGCAGGCTTGGCTGGATCAGTTCTTGTGGCAGATGGTGCATTTGCCAAAGCAGGATGCGGACAAGAGACTGGGTGGATTGACGGCGCTGGTGAAGGCCAAGGCTGGTATGGTGTTGAACGAGTGCGCGCAGAACGCTGTGTTGCTATTCGGGTGAGTGTTGTATGCCATCTTGTCGTTCATCTTCTCGCTAATCTGTACGGCAGTGGAAATGGCTTCACTCAAACTGGCCAGGGCGAGCTTGTCGAGCATGTATACCGCGATGTGATGGGCTCAAGAATCCCAGGAGGTGCGGAGGACGTTATGCTGGATCTTTCGATTCGACAACTTGTCAAGAACTATCAAAGGGCTACGGAGGAGCTGGAGAAGAGTGACGGTAGCAAGTCCAGGTTGTAAATTCGGATGTGTAAGTTTACGATGAATCCAGTGAAACAATGAAAGCCAGTCTCAAATGTTGCTGCAGCGACACGGTCTTAACAAGGCTTCCTGCATGTACCTATTGATCCATCTGTTGCAGCATCTTGCAGGTTGGCCTCGCTCTTACCTTTTGATGTTGTGAGCCTTCCCGGGCAGTTGCGGCAGGATATTACGAACAGAGATGGCAGCGACATCGGCATGGAAGCTGCTCCTTGGACGACGAACAACATACTTCACTGAAGCGTAGTCTGCCACGCCGACCAGTTCAAGTCAACATACCCTACGGATAACCTGGCGACAATACCATCAATGCAAAATGGCTACTTTATTATCCCCAGCATGGCGCCTGTCAACCATTCAAAGACCTACGAAGACTCTCCCGATCGATGGATGCCCCTCTACGCCTTTGCGGCCTTGTCCTTTGGATGCCTCAGCTTCATCTTCACCCCTATTCTGCACCAAGAGCACCTTTTTCACCTGCCGACTCGACGTCAGTTTCTGGCCTCTGAATTTAGACCATCAACCCAACGCGAAACTCTCGGCTCCTGTCCAATCTGCAGAGATCGCCTTTTCGAAGCTGTCCGTCTTCCCTGCAGCCACGTCTACTGTGACGACTGCATCAGAGCGGCTTTGAATGCCGAGCAAGGACGTTGTCCATATTGCCAGCAGGTCCTCTTCTGCGAATCGATACCATGGGACGATATTGCGGATCGAGCCAAATTTACGTTCTGGTGCATCGCGCTCATCGGCTTCCTGACGCTGAATCTCTGGGCTTCTGCCAGGTACCTGGGTTGGAGATCTGAGATGATGTGGAGGTATGATTACTTTCTGGACGTTGAATTGGCTGTGCAACTTGTCTTTGTGGCTTTGATGAGTTGGACCTTTCCCGTACCTGCTGTGTCGGAGCCCGAGGACGTGGATTGAGCGGGTCTGAGTAAAGCTTGTGAGTGCTGACCGCACTACGAATATGGAGGCTTCATCGGCGGCAGTCTGGGATTTAAATTCCACCGGTTCTATCTTCCTCTTTCACCTTCTCACATCTGGTTTCGCGATATTTTCGATAACACCAACTCTATCAAAATTCGCACTTCTTCCGTCTCCTATTCAGATCGGGATCAAGACACAAATTCTAGACACCTGGGACCCAACAGCAGATCGTGAGCACCGCCGCCCCGATACAAGCCTGATCTCAAACAAAACCCCCACGATGGAGGTCGCAGCCAACATTGCTGGCATCGGCTATGCCAAGTGCACGAAGGCACTAAAGTACGCTCTTTGGGCACTAAAGTACGCTCTTTGGTTGAACTTTCCCGGGTTCGTCGCTTGCATTATTGGATGGATTACACGTGGTTGGCCAATCTGCGCAGTATATCTGGGGGTTGTCTTCATCACCTATTACATCTTTCTCTCCGAGCGTCCTCGAAATCTGCCGACCAAGAGGAGCTTTCTATCAACTCTCAGACCACCAAACCGAGACTTGTCAGGAGAAAAATGCGCCTTCTGCTTTGATACGCATACACGGCCTCGCGAGTTTCCATGTGGTCACATCTTCTGTGAGGGCTGCACGAAGGAGCTGTGTGCGCACTTCCACCATTGTTCGATATGCCGCACGCAGCTATTCTACCGTGGCGACGTCTCACAAGCCTAGATACAGGTTTACCTTGGCACAGTCCTCGGGAGTACAATATTCAGGGTTACTTCAACCGGTGAGTGTTTCATTTCCGTAGAAGATCGGCTTGGTCTAACTTCTTTCACAGTGATGAAGGACTTGGCTCCAGACGGCGGTGCTTACATTTCTGTTAATACCTTCACAAAACTACTGTCGATTATCTGTGAGAGCGCATTAAGTGTGCGTGTCTGCTCCGACCTTTGGCGCTTGCAAGAAATCCCAATTTTTGCTTACTTTCATGCCGCTAAGTGGATGCAACTGGTCTGGGCGACGGAGGCCATCTTCTACACGAGCATTTTCATAGAGGATGTATTGGTGCAGGCAGGCTTTGCACTATCTCCGACCGAAAAGCTGTTTGCTCAAGGGCCTTTTCGCTCCCTTATCTACTATTATGCGTATGAGCCTTTTCTCCTCTTTCTCCATGGAGCTTATGAGTACCTACGATTGGGTATACAGTTGGGGCTCCAAGCATGGGATACGTACGGAGGGTCTGCGTTGCTAGTGAAGTCCCTACTAGTCCAGGCATGATGTCGGGTATCGTGAGATTGGTGCGATATCCGGGCCCAGGGACAAGTATCGACAAGCGGAGGCAACCCCATCCATGAAAAAAGGACAAAACACTTGAAGAACGGAGCAACCTTTCTCAGACTGAATCAAATGGTCAACGCTGCCTACGATTTTCAGGATATCATAATCCCAGAGAGGATTGCTGATACCTTGATTGCTGGGTTGACCTTCCAGCAGACTGGTATGGCTGACACCAACGAAACAAGCAACCTTCAGGTCTGTCTCTGGACACGCTTCACGATCTTGACTCTTCTCGCTGGACCCTTTCCCTTTGAGGCTGGAACCTTGACCTGGACGGACCATCTACCGCTGGCTTCCATATTGCACTGCGGTCACGCTTCTCTGTACCATGACAATGATCGCTGCTGCTGGTGTTGTTTACCCTGCATGATGTTGCCCAGCTTGGAATCTCATACATGCGGTGGCTGGGTTTCGCTGCGGCTTGAAAGCGCACGGTTTCGATGGCTAAGACGAAGAGAGACATGGCGTTTATTTGGACTCGCAGAGCACCTGAATTAGCACTACCAATGCGAAACATCATTCAAGGGCGACAGACTTACGATCAAGTAAGACTTTGCTATTCGAATGTCTCAGATGTTACGTGAAACCCAACGCACTCGCGCCGAGGCGACAACGTACTTCAGAGCGAACTCTCGCCTGTGTCGTCTACATCCATCGACGCACATCAACTCAAAAGACGAGGGGCTACGAATCTGTCAGCGAGCACCATGAACGACCTTGAGGACTTGGAGAATCGGGACATGCGCCTTCCAGCATTTCGTGTGATCGGCTTCCTCTCAGGGGTCCTCTTCCTGTTCATGAAATTCACAACATGGCCATTCTACATGATCATAGCAATCTTTCTGTTTCTGGAACTCAACTGCATCGTCCATCCGAAAGAGAGGATTCAGGTCCCAACACTCTGAGACTTCCTCTCGAGCCTCCACCCATCACCTCGGCACCTGCTAGATCCTAACGAAGTGCATGCCTTTTACAGAGACGCCCACACCAAACCAATCCTCTTGGCTTATAAACACATTTTCTATCTCGACTACGTCAACCAAATGGCAGAACACTACGATCGCTGCCCGCTCTGTCAACGGCGACTGTTCTGTAATGATGCTTGGACACATGCCGAGGGACAGCATTTGATAGACATGGCCTTTCGTTCCATCATACTGGCTTACATGTTTCTCAATGTCGTTGGTAGTGAGTAAAAGATCGAAGGGAACTTGATCGCCGCGCTGACTCTACTGCAGTCTGCCAAATCATCGCCCCAGGCTACACTATATGCGCTCGAATTGCCTCGTTGGTATGGGTTGTTTCTTGGGATTACTCAGCGTGTTATATCGCCTATATGTTATTCGAAGGACTTCTGCCAGGCTTAGAATCTTTGGTGTGGGTACGAAATGCGTTTGGTCGTCGTGCCGAATTATACGCTCTGCGCATGATATGGCTCACCCTGTTCGACATTGGCGTCGCCTGGGCAATTTCGTTGGCCATGACTTTGCAGATAGCATACTCTACATTGAGAGGTTGGGGCTGGTCTGAGCTGAAGCAAAACCTGGCTTGGACTCAGATTTGATTAGGAGGTCGATGAGGAAACACCTGACCTGGTATGGGAGTGGAAAATACATCCGGAATCCGAGACTGTAGGCATGTGTATCAGCTAGACCAGTATAAAATAACAGGGTTTCCAAATTATAGAGGAGTTCAGCCGGAGAGCATTCCAGGCTGGCAGATTTTGCCAAATAGGAGCGCTCGTACTGGACTCACAACATTATCATGTGGTTTCTCCATCAATAGTGCTGCTTGCCAAGTGTCTGTCTTTCCATGTGAAGCGTGGACGCGATGTTAGCATGTGAAGAGAAGAGGTGAAGTGAATCTTGCCACATTTAAGCTCGGCTCTAGCGTCGGGAGTCCCCGCTCCCGTCCGTGCTCGTTTCGCCGCGCGAGATCTCGAAACGACAACATGCCTGCGACTCTTCTTCACCTTCTCCTCATCAACATCGCCGCCGACATCCTCCTCCTCCCCTCCGAAAGTCCTCTCCGCCCTCCAGCCATCTCTACGAACTCCTCGCTGCCCTTGTGAAATCGTCGCCGAACGCGCACCTGTCAAAGAAACCACCGAACAAAGGAGCGCGCCTTTGCGCTGCGCGTGCCTTGCCACCAGAGGCCGTCGTCCCTCGACAGCGACAGCCCGAATACTGCACCAGAGCAACGTGAAGAACAAGAGGTGATCTCTAGTTGAGGGCGACAAGATGGCGTACGCAAATGGGGATCCGATGTTGGCGCAGATGGAGCAGGACGATGGAATGGAGTATGAGGGCGACTCCATGATCACGGCCGAGGACTGCTGGACTGTCATCCACTCCTTCTTCGATGCCAAAGGTCTGGTGTCGCAACAGATCGACTCTTACGATGAGTTCGCCAGCACGACCATGCAAGAGATTGTAGATGAGACACCCTCCATTGTCATAGATGCAAACATACCGCCAGAAGACGAGGATAGTGGAATGCCGATCGTGAAGCGACGATACATCCTAGAACTAGGCGAGTTGACCATCAGTCAGGCCGCCATGACTGAAGGCGACGGCAGCACGCGAGCACTATACCCACACGAGGCGCGATTACGGAATTTGACCTACTCTTCGCCTATTTTCTTGCAGCTCACGAGAAGGGTGCAGATCGCACGTGACAGAGCAGTGGGTGGATACCAGGATGGCAATGTCTGGATCCCTCCACCGGATTGGGACGGACAGACGACTGAGACTGTCTGGGAAGATGACCCTCACAACCCTGTCGAGCCCAAAGTCCAGACTTTCATCGGAAAGCTCCCAATCATGCTGAAGTCGAAGATTTGTGCGCTGCGGAATCGTAGTGAACAGGAGCTTTACGCCCATCAAGAGTGCCCTTTCGATCAGGGTGGATACTTCATCATCAACGGCAGCGAGAAAGTCTTGATCGCACAAGAGCGAAGTGCGGCGAACATTGTGCAAGTGTTCAAGAAGAAGGGATCCAACACGCCGGTTGTGGCAGAGCTTCGAAGCGCCATCGAGAAGGGCACTCGCCTGATCAGCTCGATGCAGCTCAAGCTTTACAAAGAGTCGCAGAACGCAGCCACCCACGGCAGGACGATCAAAGTGTCGGTGCCTTACATCAAATCAGACATCCCCATCGCCATCGTCTTCCGTGCACTGGGTATCGTTTCTGACGAGGACATTCTCAATCACATCTGCGACAAGAGCGATACGCAGATGCTGGAGATGCTCAAGCCCTGCTTGGAAGAAGCTTTCGTTATTCAGGATCGAGATGGCGCCCTTGACCACATCGGTCGGAGAGGTAACCAGCAGGGTACCAAGGAGCGCAGAATACGGTATGCACGAGAGATCATGCAAAAGGAGTTCTTGCCCCACATCTCCCAAGAAGAGGGCAGCGAGACCAAGAAGGCCTTCTTCTTGGGTTATATGGTTAACAGACTGCTGCAATGCTCTCTTGGCCGTGTAGAAGAGGATGACCGTGACCATTTCGGTAAGAAGCGACTCGATCTCGCTGGACCGCTCATGGCGCAGGTGTTCCGTTTGAAGTTTCAGCAGCTCGTCAAGGACATGAAGCAGTATCTGCACCGCTGTGTAGAGACGAACCGGGAGTTCAACATTACTCTCGCCGTCAAGACCAACATCATTACTGCAGGCTTGCGGTACTGCTTGGCTACTGGGAATTGGGGCGATCAGAAGAAGGCATCCTCGACCAAAGCAGGCGTCAGTCAAGTGTTGAACAGATACACATATGCTTCGACACTCAGTCATTTACGGAGGACAAACACTCCCATCGGCCGTGACGGCAAGATTGCAAAACCCAGACAGCTTCACAACACCCACTGGGGTCTTGTGTGTCCGGCTGAAACGCCAGAAGGACAGGCTTGTGGTTTGGTGAAGAATTTGTCGCTCATGTGCTACGTCACGGTCGGTACGCCTGCTACACCTCTCATCGACTTCATGCGATCGCGTGGTCTGGACCTGCTCGAAGAGTACGATCCTGTCATGAACCCCAAAGCCACCAAGGTCTTCCTGAACGGTACTTGGGTTGGTGTCCACAAGAATGCTGGCCAGCTGACAGACATGCTTCGTGGACTGCGGAGAAAGGGCGTGCTCAGCTTCGAAGTCACAATCATTCGAGATGTGCGAGAGCGCGAGATCAGAGTCTTCACTGACGCTGGTCGTGTCTGTCGACCTCTCTTCGTCGTCGACAACAACCCGAACTCGCCAGACAACGGTAGCCTTGTCCTCAAACAGGAGCATATCTACAAGCTCCACCAGGACCAGGAAACTCTTGGTCAGCTGGAGGGTGTCAGCGAAGAAGATCGCGAGAACGCCATCTTTGGCTGGAAAGGTCTCGTCGATGGCGGTGTCGTCGAGTACCTTGACGCCGAAGAAGAAGAGACCGCCATGATTATCATGACTCCTGAAGATCTTGAAGAGCATAGAAACATGCGACAAGGATACCCATACGGCGATGCGCAACCCGACCCACACATGCGGATCAAGCCCAAGCCGAACCAGTTCGTTCGTACATGGACCCACTGCGAGATTCACCCAGCTATGATTCTGGGTATCTGCGCCAGTATCATTCCCTTCCCCGATCACAACCAGAGTCCAAGAAACACGTGAGTAAAGTAAAAACGCCATTTTCTCTTATGTGTGCTGACATGTAGTCTAGGTATCAATCTGCTATGGGTAAGCAAGCTATGGGTGTGACGCTCACCAACTATAACGTTCGCATGGACACGATGGCGAACGTACTGTACTACCCCCAGAAACCACTCGCTACGACTCGAAGCATGGAGTTCTTGCGATTCAGAGACCTGCCTGCTGGACAGAACGCCATCGTTGCCATTTCCTGTTACTCTGGCTACAACCAAGAAGATTCGGTCATCATGAACCAGAGCAGTATTGATCGTGGTCTCTTCCGTTCGCTCTTCTACCGAGCGTACATGGACCAAGAGAAGCGCATTGGTATGAACGTCGTCGAGCAGTTCGAGAAGCCCACGCGATCAGACACTATGCGGATGAAGCAGGGTACCTACGACAAGCTTGACGAGGATGGTATCATCAGTCCAGGAGCGCGTGTCTCTGGTGAGGACGTCATCATTGGCAAGACTGCACCGATGCCGCCTGATGCAGAGGAGCTGGGTCAGAGGACGAAGTTGCACATCAAGCGGGATGTCAGCACGCCGCTCCGATCTACCGAGAACGGTGTCATTGATCAGGTCCTGCTTACCACCAATACCGAGGGCCTGCGCTTCGTCAAGGTACGAACGAGAGTGACAAAGGTCCCCCAAATCGGAGACAAGTTCGCTTCTCGTCATGGACAAAAGGGTACGATCGGTATCACCTACCGTCAAGAAGACATGCCCTTCACCGCCGATGGCCTGACTCCTGATATCATCATCAACCCACACGCCATTCCATCCCGAATGACGATTGCTCACTTGATCGAGTGTCTGCTGTCAAAGGTCGCCGCTTTGCAAGGCCAAGAAGGTGATGCCACGCCCTTCACCGACGTCACCGTCACCTCCATCTCCAGCATTCTCGTCAGCCACGGATTCCAGCAACGTGGATTCGAAGTCATGTACAACGGTCACACTGGAAAGAAGCTGAACGCTCAAGTCTTCCTTGGCCCCACATACTACCAGCGTCTACGCCACATGGTCGACGACAAGATCCACGCACGTGCCCGGGGTCCTCTCCAGATCTTGACTCGCCAGCCTGTCGAGGGTCGTGCTCGTGATGGTGGTCTGCGATTCGGAGAGATGGAACGCGATTGTATGATTGCACATGGTGCGTCAGCATTCTTGAAGGAGCGCTTGCTCGACGTGTCTGATGCTTTCCGCGTCCACATTTGCGAGATTTGCGGTCTCATGACGCCCATCGCCAGCATCAAGAAGCAGCAATTCGAATGCCGGCCGTGCAAGAATAAGACTCGCATCGCGCAAATCATCATTCCTTACGCCGCCAAGTTGCTTTTCCAAGAGCTTGCGGCGATGAACGTGGCTACGCGCATGTTCACAACGAGGAGTGGAGTCAGCATTCGATAGAGGACTACTGGAATTCCAAGCATATGAGGCGTTACAGGGAAACAGTGAAGCATTTGAGCAAGGATGAGGAGCATCGGCGTTGGTCCGAGGTTTGTATGGGCCACGAAACGGACGGAGTGAGACGCCTGGATCTGGCTACGGCTGGGTTGTAACATTATTGACACCATTGAAATCCAAAAAGGTCGACTAACGAAGTGCTCGTTTGGTCACGCAACATCAACTTTCGAACAGTCTGAGTGTTCTTCCCCTTCCTTCGAATGTGGCAGCATAAGTGTAAGGCCTTTGTCCTCCTTGTCGTTCGAGAACCCTGGGATAAGGGCATTGTTCCTCTTCTCAACATTGACTTGTCACTGCAGAATGCCTTTTGCGTTGGGCGTTATGCATTATACACCTGCTCAAGCGAACTCTATATGAAGGCCGTGGTGTCTGTCCACACGAGGCTTCATCATTCCGCAAACACACCATTCCACTTCGAACACCCGCACAACTCACCAGCATGACCGACAACTCTGCCATGGCCGCGACATCAGCGTTTCGCCTGATGGACCTTCCACCCGAGATACGCAACCGCATTTTCTCGTACGCTCTCCCCGGCAAAGGCAACAACACCCTCAATCGCAATGTGGCTAACTTCCGCTTTCCAGCCCTCTCTCGCGTCTCTCGCGAAGTGAGGCGGCAAACCCTCCCTATCTTTTTCGCCGAGTTCGACTTCGTCTTCAATGTCGGCACGAACGTCACGTCTCTTTCTGACGACAACCAGGAGGTGGCATGTCACGAGACCAAGTTGGCGGGTACTCTCGGGTTTCTGCCTCAGGTCCAGCGCTTCATCACAGACGCTGGACAAGCCGCAGTCTTCCGCAAAGTCACCGTGTACGTTCAGAAGGCGAGCTTCACCGAGTACACGCGCTACACGCCTGACCAAACTCGCTGTTTCACACTGTTTCGGCTAACACTTGATGTCAAGTACGGGCATGTGCGAATCGAGGTTCTTGAGGGCACCGAGCACCCGCGCAACATCAAGCGAAAGCTGGAAGAGGGTGAGCTAGAGGCTGTTGATAAGATGATTGAGAGCGTGGCTGCGAGGTTAGCGGAGATTGAATCCCGCAAGGACTTCAAGGGGCTGACGTTGAAGGATTTGAGACAGATCGCGAAGGGGTTCCGTGTTGAGAATCAGTAGGCAGCGTAGAATGAAGACGCAACACAGGCATAACTGGAGGACAGAGGTTTCGCTTCTATTAGAGGGCCGGCCAGAAAGCAGGTAGACTAGCTCGAAATTTGCATGTGATTGCCAAGCTTCTGACGAACACGAATCTCTCATCTTATGTGCGCCACCCAGGCAAGTGAAAGGTGAACATTTCTTGCCACATCTAACCTGCGATTCAAGACGCCGAGCGACTCGCCTAAGTCTAACGTCTTCCCTTTTTCACGGGACGTACTGTGTCGCGGGACGCATGAGCCAAGGCCTTTTCTCAAGCACTCAATTCTGGTTCATTTGTCGGTCTCATTGCTTTTACCTTATGCTCTAGTATTCCTTGTCATACAGCTGAGTTTTGTGAAACGATCTGTGTCGTACGTGGGTCCCCAATGCAATTCGTTGTTAGTGTTAGCATTGCCCAGACCTTGTCTAGCGTTTCACGCGTCTCTCTAATAAGTTGCTGATTTCTCGATGAACATAGACGTCGATTGACGTTTGAAGAGGCTACATGTCGAGTTTGAAGGGATTTTGAGAAGAGCAGACGGTGTTGTCGTCGAAAAATGATACAAGATGTTGGCGCAGTTATAGTGGCGCTGTGTCAGGTGTTCTGGAAGGATTTCCTAAGCGACTCCCTCTCGCACCGCTTCCTTCTCATAGTACTATGAACGCCGCACAACATGGACAACGCCCTTGATTCATATCATGCGCTTGCAGATCACGATATGTCATGTCTGCAGGATCTAGGTGATGTAATCTTACAATCCAGTCATTTTAGAATTCAAACCCGCAAAGACCCGCCAACCGCAGCCTCCGAGTGTTTACAACAGAGTCAATCTAAGACGAGTCGAATGAATAATGCCACCACCTCGCATCTTCGTGTAAGCTTCAAACCTTTTATTGTTCTTGTCGTTCTCTAGGACCTTGCGGGCTAATAGCGTCAACAGAACCGGGGCCACCGGTTATATTGGAGGCACGGTTTTGGATTCTCTCGTCACTAGACATCCGGAATATTCAATTACAGTACTACTGAGGAATGTCCCGGAGAGATTTGCGGAGCAATACCCCAACGTACGAATAGTGCATGGAGACTACGATTCCGCGGATGTTATCATAGATGCTGTGTCGAAGGTAGACATTGTTATACGTAAGTACAGCGACAAGGCATCAGGCAAGTGCGACGGTCGCTAAATATGTGCATGTGCAGACAATGGTAATTCCGATCGTGAACCAAGCCTGAACGCTATTGTCGAAGGTCTTGTCGGCAAGGAAGAGACATCATTTCTCATTCATCTAAGTGGGACTGGAGTATTGTCTGACTGGCGGGAGGCCAAATATCATGGCAAGCTGAATCCCAAAATATGGTCAGATATCGACGACATTGATGAGATTTGGTCTCGACCAGGCGGTGAACTGCATCGGAATACAGAAAAGATCTTACAAGCAGCCAGTAAAAAGCACGGGGATAAGCTCAAGATTGCTGTCATGTGTCCCCCCGATATCTATGGTCGAGGACATGGTCCGGGCAGGAGACGTAGTGCATACTTCCCCTTCTTTTGGAAGGACATCATGACGGTCGGGGCACCATTTTACGCCGAAGATGGCGCAAACACGAGATCGTTTGTACACATTGACGACTTGATGGAAATATATCTGAGAGTTGTGGAAGCCGCGGCAGCAGGTGGAGCAGGAGCTGGCTGGGGCAAAGAAGTGTGCTTCGCCGTCAAATACGCTACTTTATTTGCTAACCGTGTTCCTGTAGGGATATTATTTTGCCACGACTCAGGAGGCAAGCCAAATCGACATTGCCACAGCAACAGCGCAGGTGCTTAGAGCCCGCGGCGCAATCCAGCAAGACAAGCCCCTTCGTCTGCCTAAGGAGCAAGTGGCCGGTTTCATTCCATATTCAGGCCTCTCGATTGGGACGTATCTGTACATGTCGAACTCGAGGACACGAGCAGACCGAGCTCACAAGCTCTTCGAATACCACGCCAGACAATCGACGTTATGGGAGGTGTTAGAAACTGAAATTGCCGACGCTCTTGAGTACTGAAGCCGTAATATTAGCTCAGTACTGGAGATAGCTTTCGAGTAGAGCGCAGTCTGGGTCGAACTCGACGTGTCTCTAAGCTCTGTACATTGCAATGCAAATTCTGAGACAGCCTTGTGCATCCTGATTTCCATCAAAGACCTGCATTGTCTTACATAAACATGTTGGACTGTGGAAGGAAGACATACATTCATGCTGCTGTGATGAAAAGCGCCCGCCTGCGTGCCTCACCCTGTGCTCTGGTTCGTCTTCAGCCTTCCGTTCCCTTCATATCTGTCGATTGGGCCAGTTACTATATATTCCTTACGCACCGACAATACACGAGACTCAGGCCATCACAGAGCCTCTCTGACCTGGAAACAAAATGCGTCTTCAAATACAGACACACAGCACTGTGTGCGCTGCGAAGCTCAGAACAAGTCACTCCTCGAAGCGTTGCTCTGCCGTCTGAAAGTCTGAGTGACGTCCTCGCGAAGACGAGCCATTTCCAAGACGGCACCGAACTGCCAATCGCCTTGCTCAATGTCTTTGTTTTCAATCCTGGCAACACGCTTAAGACAAGAGCATTGTTGTCCCTTTGGATGCGGAAGAGTTACTGGGCAACGCATTGCGGTGTTATGCGTCGTGCGTTATGCCTCAACCGTCCTCTATACGAAGACTCGAACGACAAGTCGAACTCTGTCATTCTCACACCACACCCCTGGACACGACTTGCATACTCACACCGAAGGAAACCCCACAACCAGTACGGCCGCCACTAATACCACTGCTCCATCGACTGCTCCATCGACGACCCAAGCACCTTTCCGCCTACTCAATCTCCCGCCCGAGCTCCGCGAACGCGTTTACGCTTACGCACTCGACCATCCGAGTCAACGGGCTGCCGACATTCGATACTCAGCACTCACACGTGTCTCCCGGCAAGTCAGAGGAGAGGCCCTCCCTGTCTTCTTTGCCGAATCCAACTTCATCATCGATGTTGGTACCAACTTCTCGCTGCTCCAGTCGATCTTCAACCTCCGAGAATTCCTGCACCGATGGAGGGAGCTCTCAGGCGTCCCAATCCTCAAGCCGGCTGGCAAGCGTTTGTTCAAGGACCAGCGCAACTCTGCCATCTTCCGCGACGTCTCTGTCCATGTGCATTCTGCCGTCAAAGTCATGATTGACTGGTACAAGCCGGAGAACGGCATCGAGGAGGCTCTTTAGGTTTTCAATTTCAAAGTACGCCAGAGCAAGATACACGTGGAAATTGTGCCCGGAAAAGGGCATCCAAAGACCAATCCAGGAGCCTTCACGGCTAAGCAAGCCGAGCTCTACCACGGTATGGTCGATGCGGTGATCAAGGCAGCAAAGGATACGGAGGCTCGAGAGGGCTTTGAGGGATTCAAGGTCGAGGATTTGGAGAATATTGCCTCGGCATTTCGGATCTAGAGGAGTGGAGATTGTGTGTGGATGAGGTTAGCATACTCGGTTCAGGTTTGATACATGATACTCAGAAGAACTGCAAATAGTCGAATAGTTTAAGATACGAACTTGCAGTAGAAACGCAGACCAAATGACAAACGCAGAAATTTGCATGTGATCACTACGTCATCAAGTGAATGGAATCGGTAATTCTAGACTTTCCGTCTTCCCGCAACTTTGTGTAAGCAACTTGTCGTTGTTTGCAAGTGCACTTGATCTTCAACTTGATCTCACTGCAAAACCCTCCACCTTTTAGCTGTCGCATCATTCTTCGACACATCCAACACACTCCCCCTCCAACTCAAGATGAAGCGCCGCAGCTTCCGCTTGGCCGTCAAGAGCATCCGCCTGGCCATCAAGAGCGGTGACCCCGAAAGCGATGCTACCGCCGCTCTGGCTTCACCATTTAAGGGATCGCCCACCGTCGACACCTCGACCAACGACAAGAAAGACGAACCACCATTTCGCCTCCTCGACTTGCCACCTGAGGTGCGCAATCGGGTCTACTCATATGCCCTCGTCACTCCGCTCGCACGCGATCTGTCCTACTTCACACTTCCGCCGCTATCCCTCACATCCCGCCAAATTCGCCACGAGACCCTCCCGATTCTCTTCGTCGAGTCTCCCTTTCGCCTCATCATCGGCAGCAACATAGACCATCAACATCTTACCTTTTTCCATGAAGAGCAGAGAAGCCACCGATCGTCAGGTATTGCTGGAATCAAGCGAACCGTCAGCAGTGCCCTCAAGACTGCAGGCGAAGCTGGCCTCTTCCGCGACGTCAAGCTCGAGGTCTACAACGCCCTGTATGTCGAGTCGGTACGTGTCTGGAACCGGCGCGGGAGACAGTCCTCAGGCAGTGGCACTCTGAGAGCGAGAGACGATGACAAGCTGCAGATCGCTTCTTTGCATCTTCATGTCGTCGAGGGATCGCTGAAGCTGGCTGTCGAGGAAGGTCCTGATTACCCCAGCTCGTCCCGCCTCTCGCACCTGCGTGAACATGAGGTCAACCAAATGGCAGTGGCTTTAGATGGTGCCTTGGAGAATGCGAGCTACATTTCGCGGAATTTCGGGGCGCAAGATGGTTTCAAGGGCTTCAAATTAAGCCATCTGAGAAAGATTGCTATGGCATTCCGCCTGGGATGAGAAAAATCGTCGTGCGATTCAGAACACGAGAACAAGGTGAGCGGAAGTTTGATACAAGACTATGTAGAGACAACGGACTAACGACTTCGCAAAAGCTGCAAGTGATGAGGTGAAAACGCTGCAGGAGACGTCGCAGTCGAACATGAGTCTGCGGAGGTCATGATTGATGGAAGAAAAACGCTCTACGAATCCACATGGAGGTCGAATGTGAATCACACACATTCGCTGGATCTCCGCGTTCGTGATGATGAAATTCAGGAGCAACTTGGTATTCATAGCGAAAACATGCAGCAGCGTCTTGAGGAAGGATTCCCTACTGAGATCTGACGAGTGCATCAAGTGCAAACGGGATAGCTAGTATCAAGTCGCAATGTCTCAATTGAAAGTCTTTACCCAAATCATGTCTCAAGGTCCAGCAAACACCTGTTCCCTAGGTATATCGTCGTAGGACTTAGCTGTACTATTGGGCATTAACCACTTTAACTATGTATATCCTACATCAATGTCGTATACAGGGTGTAGAATCCGAGTCACCTGACTAGCGCCAGAATTTGCATGTGACGGACCGCACAAGTGAATGACCCCCAAAAGTCACTCGCCGAAACGCACGACCCTCCTGCCCGCCACTTAATTTTCGCCTTTAAATACACCGCCTCCAACACAACTTTCCGTACAGATCTTCTCTCTCGACATTTGTACAACCACAAATTCTCTCCGGCTACACGCCAACCCTTCTACGACCAACGAACAAGCCAACATGCCACGCCGCAGCGCCCGCCTCAATACTTCCCAATCCAACCCCAGCAACCTAGGCTCTACCTATGTCGCTCCAGCACCGATCTCCACCAACAACACCTCTTCCATCGATGACCCAAACCAATCCGCCACCCCCTTCCCTTTCCTCGACCTGCCTCCCGAGGTTCGAAACCGAGTCTACAGCTTCGCATTCTCAAACATCGCTACACGCGATCTCTCGCAGACTCGCATTCCGCCTGTCGCCCTAGTCTCTCACCAACTCCGCGATAAAGCACTCCTAGTGCTCTTCGCCTCCCCTCATTTCCGCCTGACTGCCGGCAACAACTTCACCGCCAAGTTCGACGAGCGCTGGCACTTCCAGATGGGTCGCACCTACTACCGCGACCACAGCCGCAGCGGGTCAGGCACTATCGGAATGAAGCGCATCATCGGCCGTTTCCTGAAGGATGCCGGAGAAGCTGCACTCTTTCGCAACATCACCTTCGAGGTCTTCGACTCGAGCGATATTCGAGACGCGCGAGAGTGGGAGCGCCAGGGCAGACCACGTAGATTCCGCGATTATGAGATCTTTGAGGATCAGGTCGCCGTTCGGCTGCACCTCGGGGTCGTGGAAGGATCATTGCAGGTTTCTTTCGTCGATGGCCGCCATCATCCGGCTTTTGGCCAACGCCCCTATTCTGGTCGTGTCGGCGAGGCTCAGATCGTGCGGGATGTGGATGGTTCGGTGGATAAAGCTATTAGCGTCGCGCAGGACATTGCAGGTCATGACGAGTTCAAGGGTTTCAAGATTACCGACTTGCGCAAGATCGCTACGGCGTTTCGTCTGGAGTGATGCAAAAGTAGGTGACGATTCGACGCTCAGATTATTGAGTGATCTCAGGCTAATCATATTCTAGGAGTTGGAGACGGCGAATGAAAGGTGCGAAGGTGCAGTAAAGAGGGCATGGATTGGAGTCACATTATTGAAAGGCTAGGGCTTGGGAAGGCGAGTAAACTAGACTGTAGGAGGAAAACAGGAGAGAAGGAGGAAGTTTCTGCAATCGAAAAGCTGGATTAAAGTTGAAGTCGAAGTCGAAAACTGTTTGCGCTGTACTTCTTGCAGGACTCGGTTAGCTGCGACGTATTTCATTTGTACACATTGCATTCCACACCTATCATCGTCATTTTTCGATGCCAGTATAATTGTGTGGGGCATGGGTGACCAGAAAAGGGGCAGCTGATGATGGGTCCGTGCGTCTCCACGTCCGCATGTGACACTCCCAAACTAGATGAATGTTCGAGTCTTGATCCAGGCTCGTCCCTAGCCATCGTAGCTTGTTAGCACATTGTATCGTCCAGTCCGTCGTCGAAGACAGCGCTTTGTCGAGTCTGTTTCTTTGTCAGATCCAGCCCTGCGTCGAGCACAATGCTTTGTCGAATCTCTCCCCCGGCCGACTCGTGTCGCTGCAAGTCTACGATACAATCGACATCACGCGGGTCGAGGGCGAGATGACGGAGGAGGACTTCTATCTGACGGTGCATCTCAAGGTCCGCGGGGCCGGGGTCGTGGATGTTGTGGTGGAGACTGGGGTTCTGCATCCGAGTCATCGGTTGGTGTGGGATCCGAGTCGCACCCGCGACATTGAGCAACTGCGGGATATCGAGGGGGCGATTGAGAAGTTGAGCAGTATTGCTTGTGGGATGGCGGCTAAGGAGGGCTTCAAGGGGTTCAAGATGAGTGATCTTGAGGAGATGGCTGCGGTGTTTCGATTCGAGTAAGGCAGAGGTAGATAGAAAGTGTGTGGTTTTGAGTAGATAGCTGCGGTAGTTCGGATCGAGTAAGGCAGAGGTAGATAGAAAGAGAGTGTGTGGAGGGAAGGACGGATCATCTGTTCATCATACTTAGCATCGTGCTGTCCTATCATCAACCATCAATCATCAGTCACAGTCTCATTTCATTCTCATCGCTTCCCTCGACCATCATCCCTCCAACTCACAAGCAAAGCCACACATCAGCAACACCGTCCTTACCCCATCAACCCTCAATCCCTTCAACCCTCCCCTCCATCCTCAAATCTTCTCCCTCAGCCCCCACCCAACCTTCATAACCCTCACGGCAATGAAAGCCGCCAAGCTAACCACATAGCACAACCCCGTGAACGTCGCCACGCCCCAGAAAGCACCATCACAGGCCTCGATTAGCGCTCCAGCAATAGGGATACCCGTCAAGGTGCCCAATGCCACTATGCAGTAGCACGTTGCGTAGTATCGTCCATACTCTTCGGTGTCGCAGAGCATGCCGACGCAGACTGGTGTGAGGGAGATGTTGGAACCAGAACCGAAGCCGAACAGGACGCAGAACGTGATCGTCAGCCCGTAGATGACAGAGTTGTGCTCGGCGTGGTCTGGCGATGCGGAGAGGATAGTCGCAGGGAGCCAGAGTGAGATGGCAGAGACCAAGCATAGGAGCAAGGCCAGGATCGCCGCGTTGAATCGACCAATCTTGTCGGCTACCAAGCCAGGCAGCCAGCGGCCAAGAGTCGAACCAGCGTTGAGAATGGCGATGATCTGGTAAGCGAAAGTCGTGCTCATGGCACCCGAACTTAGAGCGTAGGCTGTAATGTAACTGATAGGTGCAAACAGACCCCATTCCATGAAGTAGGTGCCAACCGTGAGTAGTGCGAAGTCGACCTTGCGAAAGATGCGAAAGTCGGGCCACACGTTTGCGTTCGCCTTGGGTGGAAGTCGAGATCGGACGAGAAGGTTCGTCACGAGAAGAAGCACCAAGAAGACGAATCCTTGAATGCGAGTCGCCCAACCCCAGCCGACCTTGGGGAACAGGTTTTGCAGCATCAGTGGGAAGATGACACCGCCCAGGCTGCCTCCCGCGGCCGCAAGTCCAGTGGCGGCTCCTCGCTTGACGTAGAAGAAGTGCCCAATAGCAGCGATCGTAGGAGTGAAGATCAACGCCGTACCGACACCTCCAATAATGCCGAAGACGATGATGAAATGCCAATACGCGGTACAGACACCAAGCAGCATGACGCAGAGCATGATGCACACCATGCCGGCTAGGAGGAGCAGGCGCGGTCCATACTTGTCGAACACAGGCCCAATGATCAAGCCAGCACCGAAAGAGAGAAAGACGTAAATGCTGATGATCCAGCCAATAGTACTCTCACTATATCCGGCAAGTTGGTTCTCGGCCAGGTAGCTTTGGTAGACACCGATAGTGTTCATGATACCAAGAGCCGCAAGCAAGCCGCAGAACGAACCCAACACAACGAGCCAGGCGGACAGGCCGCCTTCGGGATACTCATTGCCATCGGGAGCTTGGGTGGATCTGGTGGCCGTACGGGTAACCTCTAGCTGGCTCTCTTCGTCCTTGGTTGGTGGCAAAGGGTTCAAGGTCTGCGTCTTCTCACTGCTCAAAGCGTGAGATTCATCGTGCACGCTTTCAATCGGAGACGAGGACGAGGATGAGGCCGGGGAGGCGGAGGCCGGTGACTGGGAAGGAGGCCATTGTGATGGAATGGTGGCGGGAGGAGGGTCTGTAGTGGTGGAAGTGGTTTTGATCGATGCTTTGCTGGTATTGACAGAATGTAGTCCTGGCTTGCTGCCTTTGGAGTGTGCGCTCATGCGCTATGTCTTGTCCGTGTATGTGTCTTCTTCTCCCGCGGAGTGCAAGTAGTCGTTGGGGAAGAGGAATGCAAAAGAGCGGGCAGAGGAAGAAGTAAAAATATTTGCCTGGGGCATGACACATAAGTAGAAAAGAACGAACATACACTATTACCTGCTGTCCCCGCCATTCGCCAGGCCGGGCCTTGGAGTAGACTATGTATTCCTCATTGATTTTAGTCGCGCCCTTTGCTCGCATCATTTCTCCGCTCTGGTGCGAGTTGGGCGTGCGCTGCCGGCTGCCGTCCTCGGCGAGCTTCTGGAGGCCGTGGCGGCGGTGAAGGATGCGCGGCGTGCGCCGATGAGGTCTTCTCTATGGACAATGATGGAGCGACTGGAAGCTGCCGGGCGGTAGGAGACGAAGGGAAGAAGAGGTCGTGAATGGGTGTAAGGGCAGAGGTTGACGTCGGTGAGTCTTCGAGACCGCCTTCCCAAGGCAAGTCCGCCTCTCCTTCTTGCTAAGCCGTGCCATCGCTACTGCCTTCACTGGCGACGTCTTAGTTTCTCGTAGTCATAGAATCAAGCTGCACGTGTAGAGTAGTTGGAGAGGGACATGAAGAAGATTACACAGACGTTCAATCTTTCCGGTGGGATCTCCCTATCAGACAATTGCCACGTGCGATGAACCATACCACCTGAACCTTATTCAAAACGCGATGAGGATATACAACAAAAGAACGGATCGTTCACAAAAGATTTTAGGATTGTCCAACGCCTCGCATACACCAAACGCCATCGCCGGACGCTCTCATAACTTCAGTCTCGTAGCATTCTCCATGTCTGCCCATCCTCGACGCCCTCGCCTGCCGTCCTACATGACACCATGGGCTGCCATATAAGCCGCGAACTGTGTCGGGTTCCTCGTTTGAAGGAATACAGTTCCAGGGCCTTGGAATTTACATACGAGCCCCTCACCAGCACTGAGATTGCTGATGATGCCACCACTCGCCACTCTTTCGAGCACGTAGTTGCAATTCCAGGCCACGAGATGCCCGTTGTCAACGATGTACTTCTCGCCGTCGCGGAGCTATGCAAGGTCAGCTTATTGCGGCAGGGGTGGTTCAGGGTGGTCAGACTCACATCTTTCCTAATGATAGCACCCATGCTCTGGATCCAGACGATGCCGACACCTCCAATCTTGTAGATGAACAGGCCTTCGCCGGAGAAGATGGCTTTGCTCAGGTTTTGGCTGACATAGTCTTTGGTGATGCCTTGGGTGCAGGCCAAGAATGCGTCCTTGCCTACGTTCCAGTTCTCGCTTCCGTTGAGTCGAAGTTGTGTCACGTCTCCAATTGCGCTTGGAGCGAGTAGAAGCTCTCCCGGACCGGTGAATGTGCTCAGCGACATCTCTCCTCTTGCGATCAGCTTCTTGACGCTGAACTTGAAGTTTCCTTTGACCGTGATCGTTGGACTCATGGCAATCATGGCGCCAGGCTTCACTGTCAAAGGACAGCCCATGGCGAGCTGAATTGTGACGATCGTATTGCTGTCACGGTGGCTGATTCTATAAGATCCACCATTAAAGGTTCCCACATCGTCTACTGTTGCTTGCGCACCCGTGAAATGCCCTGGTGGAGGTGCACCACCGGGCATGCTGGATGTGCGGTTTGTGTTGAAGGATTGTTGACGTGGGCTCGCAATTGACATCACCTCTGGCTCTTTCTGCTTCTCAGATGGGTAGGAAGTCGAGGGTGGACCGGGATAGTATGGCAGGGACTTGTCGTCTTGCGGCGGAGGAGTAGGGGTTACCACATAGTTTCGAGTGCCGTCTGACGTTGAAGGAGGCGAGACACTCGGCGGCGGTGCGAAGGATGGTGGAGGAGCGAACTGCTGTTGTTGTTGTGATGCTTGTGGAGGAGGTGGTGCGAAGTAGGTCTGCTGTCCGTTGGTCGGAGGTGGTTCGAAGCGTTGCTGCTCTGAACTAGTCTTAAAAGATGTTCCTCTCCTCTCCTGCTGTGTGCTTACCCTGGCTTCCTCCGCCTGGTGGTGGTGCTTTACATTCTCGTTAGCTTGGTGGTTGCCTTTGCTTGGAGAGCTACTCACGAGGAAAGTACTGGCTCTGTTCTGAGGCCATGTTGGATGTAGATGATTGATGTTCTCTTCGCGAACCACCCTTCTCTCAAGCTCTTTCTGTCGTGGATATACGACTTGACCACGATTCCAGAAAGTCTTCGATCAACTCAGCCGTGCAGCTCTAGCAAGTCGTTTCGTAGGTGCTCGTCGTTCTCCAGGTCAAGTAACGCTCAGCAGGAGGGTTGGGTAAGAAGCGGTATAGAGAAATGCAACGAAACTACGAGAGAAGAACAACGCGAAGAGCGAGTACCAACCTGTTCATAATAAGATCCATAAGCTGATCATGCTTGGCCGCCTTGCTGCGACCTCGAGGTTGATGGTGATGCAGCAGTGGTCTGGGGCTGTCATTGGTCCCCCTCGTCCTGCGCGGCGGCTACACCTGGAGCTGGGCGCTTAGGATTCGATTCCTGCTCACATACGTTCTCGTCCTGGTTTCCAACCGCAGCACGTGAAGGGGAGGGACGGCGATATCGAGTGCATCGGTGACAGCCAGGAGGTACGAGCTGTTGATGAAGATGAGAGTGAGGAAAGACGGAGGAGTTCGTTTGGAAGGTCATGCAACGGCAATGAGATGGATCAGTCAGCACGCTCGGCAAATCCATGGCTAAATCCCTCGTCTTCACCACAGTCTCAGGCAATGTCGGGTAGGGAGGGAGGTAAAACTGTAGGAAAGAAGAGGGTATTATGGCTACTAGGCATCGAACCAAAAGCCTCAGCACGTCATTTCACATCATTACCATCACTCTAATCCCACTCATCATACAAACATCACCTAACAACCGCCCTCTCTATCCCCCTCAACCCATCCCCATCCCCCTCCCACGTAACAAAAGCCTTCAACATAGGCCCCTTCTGCGGCAACGCCGTCCCTCCCCCACTACTATGCAACTCCTGCTTATTCGTATGCGCCGGCGAAGGCGGCAACGGCATACTCTGCCGGATCGGCGTGCCGTCGATATCGAGCGGCATGGCTTCGAGGTCTGTTTCGCGGCTTTTGGCGGGGGAAGGCCAGCGGGCGATTTGGTCAGGGTCGGGTTTGTTGGAGGTGACTGGCGAGGGCGTGGAGCTGTTGAACCAGAGGGCTGTGGAGGAGGATGTGTTAGTTCGCTTCCGCATGGGGCCACGGGTGCTCGTGGTGGAGGGTTGGTTTGTCGAGGAGAGGCTGTTTTGGCGGGAGGCGGAGGCGACGAATTGGCGGATTACGGCGACGCTGGCGCAGCAGATCGCGATGTTGATTTCGATGAAGGACCAGGTGTTTATCGGAGCTGCGTCGCGCAGGGGTTGAGGGCTTTCGGTGTAGACTCTGATGCTGTAGAGACGGACGCAACTCGCGATCGTTGAGAAACCACCGCAGAGAAACGCTGCGATGATGCCGATTTTGTGTGGAAGGGAGTAGGGGACTTTCCAGACGGTGGGGACAGGGAGGGCGAGCATGATGATGTCGGTCACTATCGTGAATACGTTCGTTGCTGCGAGATGCTAGTCAGTCGTTTGCTCTGTCAAGGCCGTGCGTCGAAACGTACAGTAGAAGAAGGCCGTAATACTAATACACTTCCCGGGCGTCGATGGTGCCCAGTACTTCTCCATAGGAATACATTGCGTCGAGAAGACGATTACAGTCGTGATGAAGTGGAGAGTCAGAACTCCAATCAGGACCAGGCTCCAGTAATAGAAGTAGTTTCTCAACTCTTTTGCTGTTGGGGACCGTCAGCGTCCAGTACTCTCTGCTTGGAATTGTGGTCGAGTTTGTATATACTCACCTAACCGCAGGTACAAAAACACAATCGACAGCTTCACAAAGAACAGGCTGAAATAGTAAAAGACCTCAATCGCGTAGACGGCCTGGACATCACTGTTGTCAGCAATGCAAAGTATCCAGATCACAGCATTTCATTGCAGATTCTGCCCTACTTACTTGAATCGCCCTTGTCGCCCAATAAGGCGGCGCATCTTTCAATTCCAGCCCAACGCCCCACCTCACAGAGACATACGACGCAATCATGAATGCAATCGAAAAGACGTACGCAACGAGCATTGAATAGTCGTCATACCAGGCTTTTCGTCGACGGAGAGCGAGATTCGAGATGCGGGCGACGATGGCGAGGGTGCCGATTACGGTGAAGATTACGCCTTGGAGCAGTCAGCATGGACAACATTGATTCTTATGAGTGAAATGTTTGCATACCGACGACAATCAGAGCCAATCGGTCCTCATTCATAGCATACGTGTTGAAGTGGTACGGCGTCGTGTTGAAGACTTGCTTTTGCATGAATTCGGACAAGTCGGCATTAGGTAGTGTCATCGCCATGATGGCGGTAATCCTCACGTGTATGCGGTTCGTCCAGTGTGTTGGAGACTTAGCCGTGTAGTTAGGTGGTGGTTGTTATAGTACAGTGTATTAAAGCGACAGACGCAAAGCCAGAGAGGAGTACCAACGAGCAAAGTTGATGAGAGCCCAAGACGGTTCCATAGCCACGGTGACTGGGTCGAAGGTTACGGGTCTGTTCGGTTCTTAGTCTTATAGACGGAGAAGCATGTCGAGGCGATAGGGGTAACGTCCACCTCTTCGATGATGTGCTAAAGTTCACGACTCGAAAGTCTTCTGTCCAGATCGAAGGTAAGAAAAGTCGACGTCTCCACAGCAAAAACTTACAATGCTACGAGCATCTATAGCCTTAGGTGCGCTCTGTTAACAATGCCATGGCACAGGCATTGCGTTTCTCATTACACGAGGGACGCTCGTGATGTGCATGCGTGAAACAACCACATGAGCGTGGATGTGCGGATCGATCTGCGAAGAGTGGCTACGATCCTAGAGATTTACGCTGTCGAAGCAGGATTTTGAAGATTTTTTGGGGTCGACAAGCATGGTTGTGGTGGGCTTGGAGGCCACGATGCCATCATCATCACCAATAATGGAAATGATGAATTCCGACTTGAGATTGAGCGAGCGCGACCAAGAAGTTACCAAGACCAGACGTGGTCTCATCCAGGCATGACGGAAAGGCGTGTCTTCTGTCTATTGGTTTCAATAGGCGTCTGTTCTATCTTGTCCTCTCGATAGGCGGGGCTGCAGTCATCGCAAACGCTTTGATTACTGTAAGGAGCACTGGTCGATGTGGTGGTATGGATGCTGCCCGATCGACAGTTCGAAACATAGAAAGTGTTCGCCGTCGTTGCCCAAGGCCGACTGGGCACCCTCGTCGTTCGTATCACCATTAGTGTGGAGAGTTCGGTGACGACATGTGATAGTGATGAAATATATCACAGCATGGCATCCCTCTCCATCTTGAATCGAATGTGGGTTTTTGGGACTTCTTGCAGACGCAGGTGTGCGGAATGATATTCAGGCCATGAGTCGTGAGGACGATTCTGGAACGTGAAGCCCAACTTGGGCGCGGCTGTTGCTCCGTTTTCGCCGATGACGTCCAATTCTTCTAAATTCAGGTGCGAAAGCTATACCTGATCGTTTCCGATGGGTAGAGTGAGTGAAATGCAGTGGCTCTCGGCGACGCCATGAGAGGATTTCTCCCTCGTCAGCAGCTCGTCAGCTCTCAGCATCCAAAATGAGACGGCGCTGCGCCTGGAAAAGGCCTTATTGGATCGTGATGTCTCGTAGAAGTTGACGATGGCCACATGGACGGGGAATAATGCAGCGTCAGATCATGGCCAGCTGGACAGTTCTGCTTCACGAGACCTTGAAGTCCGTAGTCATGTTGGATAGATGCAAGGTAGTGAAAAGAGTCCAGTAGTCGGCCTGCACGACGAGCACATGATGCTGAGATGGGGTGCGGCCTTTGCAGACTGGTGGTGCTGGAGGTCAACAGTCGTGTCGAATGGACAGAGGACGTGGAGTCGTCGACGCTCGCCTGTGGCCCATCAAAATTTAGACGGCAGTTAGCGCGCCTGCCGGCTGGTGTCATTCGTCTGCGCCCCGGATCTCCATGAAATTGAATCGAGCTTAGCGCCATCTCCCGTCTCCCTGACGTCCCGCTTGGTGCTGTGGGAAGAGGAGGATTCCAACTTTCTGATTTCCACGTGAATCCTGTCTATCTGTTGCGAGTATGGCTTGCGCGGTGCGTTATGGATTCTGAGCATTTACCCTGCAGGACAAGCGACGATAGCGACGGATCACCGGCGACGACGGCCATACCACACACGCGTAGACTGACGGGGAAAGAGAGGGTCGAGGCGTGTGGGAGGAAGGAAGCATGGCGGCGGCGGCGGTAGCGTCGAGCACCGACGACGACGATGTCTCGCCGCACAGTAGAGCTCCTCCGCCGGATCACGACATGGACAAGAGCAACGGCTATGTCTCCTCTCCACTGCGCGCAGAACATCGAGCCAGTACAGTCAACGACAACAACGCTCCACTTCCGAGGGCCCCGGATGCAGAGGGAACGCTACGTCTAGACACCTCCAAGCTGCCTATACCGCCATCGATTCAGTTTGCTCCGCCGTCACCCGGAGCATTCCCCTTCAATGCCAGTCCTGGCTCAGTCGGTCCTTCGCCGACAACCAAAGACACTTCGTTGCAAGGAATGAGCGGCAGTACCGAGCATTCGCCTTCGCCAGGTGGCTTGGCTCGCAAGAGACCGAATATACCCGGAGCATCTACTCCGCCAGAACGAAGAAGCGTACAGTTTGCAAGGGGAACGTTGGAAGATCCGGGTCCAACACCGCTGGCCAAGACGCTGACTTGGGAGACGGAGAACAATGACGAGGATGATCAGAATGGAAGGGAACGCCAGGCTTCAGGCTCTTTCTTTATGAAGTTGAAGCAATTGGCTACTCCTAACCATACCCGCTCCTCTAGTAGTGCGACTGCAACGGGCTTCACAACACCAAACGCTGCGCTGTCTCCACAGTCAGAAAGAAGCGATCCCATGCTACCTGTCCCCTCTGAAGCTGTCGAAAGCGATGCGGATGCAGACCAGGAAGATTCAGAAGTGGAAGGGCCAAGCGATGGGTTGCGTCCACGAAAACGACGGAAGAGCAAGCGGCCGCAGCTAGGCCCTGCAGAGTCGCTGCCAGCAACACCTCGAGCCTCTCGTTTCGCATCTTTCATGCGCGATCATCCAATACCCAGAACTGGCAGGTCTAGCAGTCGCCCGGCAGCACCATCTCGACGCGCTACGATGTCTGATGTGTCCGATCATGAGCAGAACGGAGCTGGCGTTTCTGAGGACGAGGGCAGAGACAGGATACGCAACGCATGGCGAAGAGGCATTGAAGGTGCACGTGGATTGAGCTATGCAAACCGCAAGGAACGCGAGGGCGAACCATCCGAAAGCAAAAGACCTGGCAATCTTCGTCGACTGACCAACTTTGGAACGCATGACAGCAGTTCACCTTTCAGACTTCGCGCAGACAGGCACAATAGTGCTAGTGCGCAGAAATGGAAACAAGTCAAAGCAGGCCTGAAGATGCTAGGTCAGCGCAAGAAGGATGAAAGAATGAAGATTGACCACCAGAAGTCAGCACAGCTTATGGCTGAGTTGTTGGCTGGTGCGCCTGCTGCTCTCATCTTCGCCAGCATGTTCCAGCGTGATGAGCATCAACATCGAAAAGTGCCAGTACTATTGGAGCAGCTCAAGATCAGCATTCCCGATGTTCGCGCACGCACGGATAAAAAGGGTGATCGAGACTACATCTACAAAGTCGACTTGGAGTACGGGAACGGTCCGGCGCGCATGCAGTGGACGATATACCGCTCTGTAAACGATTTCGTAAACTTGCATGTCAAATACAAGGCGCAAGAAGCAACAGACAAAGTTCGGCATTTCAGGGGCGACGACAGGAGTAAAGCGAAGATTCCTCGCTTTCCCAAGAGTGTCATTCCGTATGCTCGTGGTATGCGTGGACTGTTTGAGAAGATCAAGGACGAGGAGGACGATCAAGATCCTCCTGATACGCCTGGTCAGATCGACGGCGTGACACAGGCAAACACAGATGCCAACGCCAAACGACCGCGAGGTCATCGCCGCGCTCAGTCATCACTCTTTGGTCCTCCACGAAGACAGAGTACCAGCGAGATTGGCAACACTTCAGCGGATCCTGACATCCTCACTGCTCGGCAGCGAGAGCTCTATGCTGAACGTTCACGTCAGAAGTTGGAGACGTATCTGCAACAGATGATCCGTTGGCTGATCTTCCGCCCCGACAGCTCTCGACTTTGCAAGTTCCTGGAGCTCTCCGCCATGGCAATTCGTCTTTCTGCGGAAGGTGGCTATCAGGGCAAGCAAGGTCTTCTTCAAATTGCATCAAGACGGCATCGTGAGCTTCGCCGCAAGACACTGCAGACTCTTGGACCACAGGCCTTCAAAGAGCGGCACAAAAGACGATGGTTCCTCGTTCGGCACAGCTACATCGTCTGTGTGGACGGCCCGGAATCGTTAAACCCGTACGATGTCTTCCTCGTCGATTCCGACTTCTCGATTGAGAAGCAGAGAAAGCGAATCTTGGACCAGAAGACACCACAGGAGATGGCCAAGATCGCCACCGAGAATGCCACCCCTGCCAAGAAGGCCCATCTTATACAACTTTACAACGCCGAACGTAAGATCAAGCTCTACGCCAGGAATGAGAAGCAATACTTGCAGTTCAAGGAGTCTCTAACACACATGATGCACAACACCGTCTGGGCGCAAAAACAACGATTTGCCAGCTTTGCACCAGTGCGAAACAACGTCTGGTGTCGCTGGCTGGTTGATGGCAGAGACCACATGTGGCAAGTGTCCCGTGCTATCGACAACGCAAAAGACTTTGTCTACATTCACGATTGGTGGCTCAGTCCAGAACTGTATATGCGTCGACCTGCGGCTATCAGCCAGAAGTGGCGCCTGGATCGTCTCCTACAGCGAAAGGCGCAGGAAGGTGTCAAAATCTTCGTCATTGTTTACCGCAACATCGAGTCTGCCATTCCCATCGACTCAGAATACACCAAATGGAGCTTGCTCGACCTGCACGAGAACATCATTGTCCAGCGCTCACCAAATCAGCTCAGGCAGAATCAATTCTTTTGGGCTCATCACGAGAAGCTCGTGGTTGTCGACAACATGATGGCTTTCGTTGGCGGTGTTGATCTTTGTTTTGGAAGATGGGACGACCCATGCCATTCACTTACTGACGACAAGCTTACTGGCTTTGAACTGGACCACGACGTACCTAGAGATGCAGAGCACTGCCAAGTCTGGCCTGGCAAAGACTATTCGAATCCTCGAGTTCAGGATTTCTACGCTCTTGACAGACCATACGAAGAGATGTATGATCGAACGAAGGTGCCGAGGATGCCGTGGCACGACATTGCCATGCAGATCGTCGGCCAGCCTGCACGAGATGTCGGACGTCATTTCGTTCAGCGATGGAACTACATCTTAAGATCGAGAGTGCCTTCACGACCAACGCCAGTCTTGATGCCTCCACCTGAATACGAACAAGAAGAGCTCGACCGACTTGGAATGACTGGTACATGTCAGGTGCAGATACTGAGATCTTGTTCGCCCTGGTCGATCGGTACACCCAACAAAGTCGAGCACAGCATCATGAACGCCTATGTCACGCTCATTCAAACCTCAGAGCACTTTGTCTACATTGAGAACCAATTCTTCGTCTCGAGCTGCACAGTCGAAGGCACAACCATCCACAACAAAATCGGAGACGCCATTGTGGAGCGAGCGATCGAAGCACATGAGAAGCGTGAAGCATGGCAGTGCTGTCTCGTTATTCCACTCATGCCAGGCTTCCAGAACAGTGTTGATGCTCAGGACGGTACCAGCGTACGTCTCATCATGCAGTGCCAATACCGAAGCATCTGTCGCGGCGACACTTCTATCTTCGGTCGATTGAGGGCAGTTGGTATCGATCCAGAAGACTATGTTCGATTCTACTCTCTTCGCCAATGGGGAAAGATCGGGCCACGAAAGTGTCTTACCACCGAGCAGCTTTACATTCACGCCAAGTGCATGATCGTCGATGATCGGTCCGTCATCATTGGATCTGCGAACATTAACGAGCGATCCATGCTTGGTTCAAGAGATTCTGAGGTCGCCTCTATCGTCACCGATACTTGCATGATACCGAGCTTCATGGGAGGCAAACCGTACCGTGTAGGCGAATTTCCTCATTCACTTCGAAAGCGACTGATGCGCGAGCATCTCGGGATCGATGTTGATGCCATCTACCGACGTGAGCAAGTGGCCGCCGAGCGAGAAGAGCAGGATGCCGAGATGGAGCGCATCTATCGACACCACGAAGCCTTCACGCCACAACATGAATATTTCGAAACACCACCCCAGACACCGCTCGCGCCTGCCATACAGTTCCACAATCTCGAAGCATCGACGACCGGCTTCGCTGGAACCAGGAATGAGCCTGACGGATACGCTGGAACTACGCAAACTGGTTCGTCAGATCAGCTTGAGCATGAGCATACCAAGGATCACGGAAAGAGCCCTGAAAGGGACCTCGACGTTGAGGGCTATGGCTTTGATAACATGAAGAGACTCATGGACGCCGGTGACAATGGCTTGAGAGATTCATACATTGATATAAACGGACGGGAAGTGCTCTTGAAGAAGGACGCTCCCGACACGTTGCGAATCAAAGCTCTCGAGGAAGCAGGGTTGGAACGTCAGCGAAGCGAAAGCAAAGAAAGGAAAACAGCACCCCCAGTTCGACCGCCCTGGCCAACGGAGCGCATAGATACGATTGAGATGGGTCTCCCCACACGTTCGCAGCTACCGGAACTTCCAAGTCTTGATGACACGGATATAGGAGGTCCGCCATTAAGACAGGGAACATCTTCTGGCTCGAAAAAGACTGCCGATCCCCTCATTCGCTCCTTGAAGAGGCCTGAAATCCACGAGGACTGCATGACTGATCCTATCGCAAGTGGCTTCTATCATGACATCTGGCAACAAGTGGCAGAGAACAACACCAAGATCTACCGCCAGGTGTTCCGCTGCATGCCTGATTCGGAAGTGATCGATTGGAGGACTTATGAAAAGTTCAACGCTTACAACGAGGCTTTCATGCAGTCGCAAGGCTTGGGCAATAGTAAGCCAAACCCCGTGAAGGGCGCTCCAGGACAGTCTGGTCCACCTGGCGCTGGTGGCACAAACCCCAATAGCCCCACGAGTGCTGTCTTCCCTGAGACGAGGACAAGATCCAAGAGCGTGTTGGGTGGCTTCGTCGACAAGCTGCGACCTGGTAGTAAGGCTTCCACGACCGACACTTCCCACACGGAGGAAATGAACGAGAAAGGCCCTGCCCGCGGTGGCTCGCCTGGATCTCCTGGCTCAGGTGCTTCCAGCGGCCCAACAGCCGTCCCCTCCTCCGACCAAACTCCCCTGGATGAGAAAGACGCCATCAAGCAAACCACACCACCCGGCGAGGAAAGACAGGGCTCCAAAACCGAAGACGAGAAGGCCGCGGCCATTCGAGACGACATCGCCGTGACGCGCACCCGCACAATCCAGTACTCCGACAGCGTCAACCTCGCGCCCGAGACGACCGCGACGCAGTCCAACGACCTCCGGCACACGACCTCGCAGAAACGCCGTCGCCGCGGGACCACCAAATCCAGTGGACGTCCTCTGCCGGAGGAAGTCATGGGCCGGGAGGAGGCGGAGGATCTCTTGAAGCTCGTGCAGGGCCATCTTGTGCTTTGGCCTTATGATTGGTATGTCACCTTCCTTCCACGTAGAGCAGACTGTGCCTTGCTAACTGCTCAATGTCCAGGCTCGAAAAGGAAGAACGAGGCGGCAATTGGTTGTACAGCATTGATCAGATTGCGCCGTTGGAGATTTATGATTGAGCGGATATTTCTCGGTTTGCGACTTTTTTCGCTTTGTACATATCGTGTGTGTTATCGGGTCGTTCTGCAGCGTTCTTGTTGGATTTTCTGGCTCTTTGTGGGAAGCATAGCGAGCAGGGCGCTTTCATTGGGTGACGTCTATTCTTATTGCATTTTATATCCTTTTAGAGTCGAGAGAATGGACAGACTAGTTCTGAGCAGAGGGAGGAAAGGGACGCTTTTGACCTGTCCTTTTGATGACTGTTTCTATTACCTTCATGCCCTGGATCGTGCGGCATCGAAGTCTATGAGTTGTCATTCTCTACCACATCTACTTTGGTCTCAATCAAAGACCAGCTCTTGACTGGACACACAACCATGAGACAAAGGTATGAAGAAGCAAGCGTTTCTGCAAACGAGACTGAGCTCACATTCAGAGCCATCTATGTATGATAATGCACCAGAACCCTCAATACGCTCAAGGTGATGCCCCCTTTTTGGCCCAAAAAGTACTCCAGTCATAGCCCGAACTCGCCACTCGCCGCCACATCTCTCGTCCATAGCACGCAGACACGATCGTCGTGGGACTTACCACCATGCCAACTTGTAGGAAGGAAATGCTTACTTCTGCATTCTCTTACGCTTGCCGACTTGTGCGGAGAAACCGCTCTTGATGGCGGTGACGGATCGGCGGGAGCCGCAGGAGTTGCAGGTGACGAAGTAGAGGCGGTTTTCTCCCTTGTTGAGCTCGGTGTCGGGGGAGCGGCAGGTCTTGCAGGTGACGTATTCGACTGTGGTGAGGTTAGTGAAATATGTTCAGTGTATTGAATAAGGACAATGACTGCGCTCACCGATATATCGTCTCAGCACGTTCTCGATCTGCTTCTGCTGGAAGCGACCCTTGATAACCAATCTCCTGCTTCCGTCCACGGATCCACTGGTACCCAATTCGGCGAACAGGAACTGCGTGACGTGCTCGTCCGTCCGCTTCATCCTCTTACAGATGTCGGCAATGTTGGCGAAGATGGTCTTCTTGTTTCCTTCACGGAGACACTGCGGTGGTGGGATCTTGTAGCTCTTGCCGCCGCTAGAGGCAAGGTCAGGATGCGAGTCGTGCAGCATGACGAAGAATCGTGAGAGTAGGCTCTCGTAGTTGTATGCCTTGGTCTCGTCGTGTGCCCAGATGCCCGTGCCGCCGTGGATGTCGCCGTCTTGAACGCCAGACTCGTCTGAGTCACCACCTTTCTTGGGTGCTGCCTCCTCGTCTTCTTGCTCCTCGCCCCCTGCGCCCGCCTCTGCGAGCTGCTTCTCGAAGTCATCGCCCTCGGGCGCCTTGACCTTCTTCTTTTTCTTCTTCTTGAGTGCTGAGAGGTCGACTTCGCCGTCGTCTGCGATCTTCTCCTCACCACCCTCCTCGCCATCCTCTTCTTTCTTCTCCTTTGATGATGATGACTTCTTCTTTTTCTTCTTGGTGAGACCCTCCATCATGGCCGTGATCTCATCGACTTCGCCGTTGGTGCCGTCTTTGCTGTGCGACTCGGCAGAGTCCTTCTCGCCATCGTGCACGCCGTTGGAGTGTTCCGTGACGTTGCCATCGCTGTCGACCACGGTTTGGCCGTCGGCGAAGGCGACTGATTTGCGCGGTTTCAGTTCCGCCATGATTGCGGTGTTCGATTCGGGTTGTGGGCTGCTATTCGAATATCGCGGTGGTTGTGAAGGGTGGATGTTGTTTGTCGTGTGAGTGAGTAATTCTGCAGTTCGAAGTTCAAGTCACGATTTAGAACGTGGAGTCATCGCGGGGCTTGCCGTCTTCCCGCAGAACGACATCGCTTGTCGATGAGTAAATACAGCAGAACTACCTAGAAGAGATACGTTCAGGCAAATGACTGGGCTGAATGAATTAATATACTCTCGTTCGGAACAATTCTCCATCGAATTGGTATTGCTCGCCGAAGAGCACATTTGCATGTGATACCAAAACACGTGACTGCCCGCGACTTTCCTGGCTGTCGCTGAGGTGTATCCGTATATCCAACGGCTGGCAAACACGTTCTCGACCTCATCAACTCACACGATCCATTGAGCCAGATTCAGATCCAGCCTTGAGCTGCGCGCGAGAGCATCGACCAAACAAGGCCATCCCCAACTCGCAAGCACTACCAGATATGTCGGAACCATCGTCCTCCTACGCGAATATCCCAACCCCTACCGAGGAGATTGACTCCTTACCCTCCTCCTCTGCTGGATCATCCACCTCCGTATCGCCCAGCGAAGAAGAAGCATACTCAGACGCAGAAAGAGAATGGCGAGAAAGCCTGCAACAATTGGAGCTCATGTTGACGTTGGTCCTGATACCATACCTCGGCAAGTACTTTGGGAGGAAATGTGCTTATTGGGGTATGTCCATCTCATGTTGGAGGGTCAGGTACTGCAAATGCTGACATACACTCAGGCTGGGCTAGGTTCATGGAATGGAAATACGCCGTCTCGGTCGAAATCACGAGTCCAGCTACTTTCAAGGGTGTCGGCGCAGTAGAAGCTGCCGCGTCTCTATGAACGACTCAACCCAACGAACACTTCTACGATTGTAAATCAAAACCAGCCGAACTATTTTCAACTTTCGGCGTATTTCAACGTCCGGCTGCGCCTGTCATGCAAACCAGCGAGGTCGCCTAGCTCCGCGAAGAGTGCGGGTCAGGCATACCGAAAGGAGAAAGCACACTCCCCTGCAGCAACAGTCTGAGCCACAGGCGACGAGGACTCATCTAAGATGACAATAAATCGATCGAAGCGGCTGCTCAGATTGAGCAAGGAAAGACCCCACCTCGACAGCGTATACGTTCTGGGTACGCACCGCTGGCCTCGGGCGTTGGGGACATGACGCCAAAGAGAAAAAGCCTGACATGTGATGGAAGACCGGGCCCGATCGGGTTGCAGGGGAGAGCGTTGTGAACGCTACTCTTCGGAAAGTTGCGCTTGCAAATTGCCGGCTGGGTCAGGTCGTTGGGCGGTCTTGCTGCGAGTTCGCCATAGACTGCCAATGTCTATACACCATTGGCTGTCGATACAAGCAATGCATAGACTGGAGGGAGTGTCGCGGAGGTGCGGCCGAGGCGACGTCGGAAACGTACAGCAATCGACAGATTAGGTGCAGGTCACTGCCCAGACTCAGACGCATATTCACACCCTTGCTCACCCATCTGAAGATTACTTGCAGCCGCATATTTACCAAAAGACAGCCCCTAGCAGACCCAACGAGACGTTGCATCGCGCACAACGACTACCGCTTCGCACAATCCATGACTTTGCGTCTCATGCTATGCCGGACCACTTTCCCGCTGTTCCATAGTGATCGTGCGCTTCGGCAAACATTAGACCTTGTCGTGGTGAATGCTGTGCAACGACCGGCCAAGTGAATGTCCGGTCTTCGGCTCGTCGGTCATATCAGTTCGGCAGTCTGGATGATCTCGGTCAGAGCTGTTCCGTCACCCTTCAGCCGCCGCAGATTTTCCGTATCGTCGACGACCCCACCATGGAGTGCCCCACAATTGGGGGTATTGGGGGTCACATCGGCATCTGAACGACCTCCACGAAGGACATTCTTCCTTATACCAGACTCATTCTCGTTGAAAGAGTGAGTCATTGTCATCGTACCATCCCTCAAACATCATATTGAACCAGAAACCCCCTCACACACGCAAAATACAATCACAATGGGCAGCAGAGGAGCTCAATCATCCCCGCCTCCACAGGGCATCTACGTCCCCGTGCCGACCTTCTTCGCCAAAGAAGGCAGCGCCAACTACGACCCCATCTCCCCACCGCTCGACCTCGACGCCCAAACCGAGCACTCCCTCTTCCTCGTGCGCGGCGGCATCAAGGGCCTTGTCATCCTGGGCAGCACGGGCGAAGCCATCTTCGTGCGGAATCAAGAACGACACGAGTTGATCAAGAGCCAGAGGAAAGCACTCGATGATGCGGGCTACAAGGACCGGCCGATTATTGCCGGCACTGCGTCGCAAAATATCGAGGATACCGTCGAGTTGATCAAGGATAGTCAGGCGGCGGGGGCGGAGTATGCGATGGTGCTTGGGCCGGGATACTTTGCTCCTGCTACGAGCCAAGTAGGTCTGCAGAAGTGGTTTGAGGCTGTGGCGGATAGGTCGCCGATTCCAGTCCTCATGTGAGTAGCACACACTCCCAACTGCACAGTCGAGAGTACCTGTCTAACTATCCAAACAGCTACCACTACCCCGGCGTAACCAACAACCTCTACATCGCGCCCTCGACCTTCGAGAAACTGGCCCAACACCCCAACATCGTCGGCACTAAACTCTCCCATGGCATCATCGACGACCAAACCCTCATCGCCGCCTCCCCCCGCATCGACCACGACCACTTCTACGTCTTCACCGGCCTAGGCCAAAACCTCCTCCCCGTCCTCACCATCGGCGGCGTCGCCGCCATTGACGGCCTCGCAGGCTGCTTCCCGCGCTTGGTGGTGCGGCTCTTCCGGACGTACATGGACAGTTCGGCCAAGGGGACGAGTAAGAAGGACATTGACGAGATGCGGGATCTGCAGTTCCGGATCTGCGAGGGGGAGAAGCTGGTCGCGGCGTGGGGCGTGGTGGGGATGAAGGAGGCGATTGCGAGGGTTTGGGGGATTGGGAGTCGGACTGGGGGGAGGTTGCCTCTTGCTGGGGGGTTCCAGGATGGGGAGAAGGAGTGGGCGAAGTGGGAGACGGTGTTTGCTGGGTTGAAGGAGTTGGAGGAGAAGTTTAAGGCGGAGGGGAAGGAGGGTTAGTAGACTTCAAAATGTAGTTGTCTCGGACAGAAATCGTAGTATGTCTTGATGCAAAGGGTCTTTGTGCGGTGCTGGTGCTTCTGATGTACAGTACTTCCAGTACATGTGACTGTGTTCTTCTCCGCATGGCTTGATGATCTTCGAGATCTCCTCTCAGTACCTCCCCTCACCTCACCTCACTAACAGGGAAGAAGACTATCTCGCCAACGAGCTAGTCACTGGCGCGAACCACCATCTCACCAACGTGAAATTTTCCGAATCGATGTGCGCAGGATTCGATGGTGCTCAATACTCAGGGTCCGCGTGAAGATGAACCAGAAATCTTTCAAGTCTGCCTCGCGATGGCGGATACGGTAGTCATGACTCGTAACTCTGTCGTGACAAACTGGATGTAGTGTACTATATTGTAAAGTAAGCGGTTGCCGTTGTGTCTCGCGCATAAGGATGGGAAATGTTGAGAGGACGTGTTTACGTATACGTGTAGCGCGGCGAAGTCGGGGAGCGGAGGGGAGATTTAAAGACACGTGAGAGTTGCTCTTGCTTCTCATTCAGTACCACAAATTTGCAGCAGAGCTTGCTAGCTTGTCGCTTTCTTTCGTACCTCTCTCCTCGCGCTTTCACGTGCATCTCAGAGAGAGTCTGTTGTGTGATACTTCCCGCATGACATCCGTGATAGAGGCCCCCATATTTCCGGCCGGAATAGGAAGTTACAAACCACCAAGTCCCCAAGCGTTTGAAAGTCAGCTGGAGGTTGGGGGAAGTTTAATACTTGTCGTTTCCTTTCTGCTCTGCTTCTTTCGCCAGAGAAGGAACCACGATATACTTTACCTTGCGGCGCAGCATGTACGCCTCGTGGCACTTGATTCTTCACGGCAGAACCCCATCACACTTTCTCCGTGCCTCTCACATGCTGCCGTGTTTGTGCTTTATCAAGCACCTGTGAGTGAGAGGAAGATGGACAAGGAAGGTGACGAGCAAAGAGGGCAGAAGAAATCAAACGCCAGTCTGTCGATTTCTCGCCCAGTCTTTGCGTGAAAGCCAATCTGAAGCCCTCGAACGCTAGTCCACGTCCGAGCATGTGGGATCTCAGATTCCCGTCCGTTTTTGCACCATCGTCAAGCCAAGGCGTTTTGGAGCGAGGAGTTTGCCCGAGCCGCGCGCCGTTGGCGGCGAGCAACGGCGGAATCGTCGGCGTTGTTTGTTTGTGAGAAACGAAACGAAACGAAGTGGAGGAAGGGTTTCATCCACCACCAAAGCACAAAAACACAAAGCACGACATCGGGCTTTTGCCGCTCCGGGTTCGTTCTGCGAGGCCAGTTTGGCACTACTGTGGCTTTCCTGTCGTTGCAGCTGATGGGAAAAGGCAATAGCCGCACGCAATGAATAAGGAGAAAGGCTGGAGACCTGTCTGACCACATCGTTTTCCCGAGTCCGTCAACGCCGGGAAGGGCTGATGCTGATTGTACCAAGCTTGTTCTCGGCTGCCTCGCTTTGCCATGCCATGCCGCCGCATGACAAGGTGAGACACGGCACAAGATATCCCAGTCAGCTGCACCTAGACGAGATGTGAGGAGTGGTTTGTGGCTTGAGTTTCTTGGGAGTGGTGAGCCGAAGCTCTCTTCTCAGCTGCTCGGCGAGCCTCTTTCTATTTTTCCTCGTGCTCGTGCGGTCGATACGAATCGCCACGCAGTTTTCGTCGGGCGACGTGTCAGCCTTTCTCGTGATCGTTGTCTTCCAAGCAAGCCTGTTGCCCCATCCGGAAGGACCACGCAACCAATCCCTCCGAGCGCAGGTGAGTGAGGGAGGAGCACCATCGCGGGCCGAAAGAGAGGCATGAGAAAGCGTCCGCCATCAGATGACGAGCATTGAGTTGCAACGTCGAAATATCCCCAATCCCTGATCCCTACACGCGCATGCAGTGAAACCCTGAGAAAAAGACGCAAGCAGGCAAGAACTCCACTCTCACACAGATCTCTAAAAGTCGTGGGATAGTCTCACCGGACCGACCTCCACTTCACTTCCTCTTCCTCGAGTTGGTACGTTTCTTCTCAACGGAAACAGAGCAGCAGATGGGAGCGATGGATACGTACCCATCGGGCCATGCAGAAAATTCCACAGGTCCTTCATTCCCTCCACTTCACTTCTTGCTTACCTCGTGACGACGACCACGACAACAAAAGAACAGTACTTGTACTTGAGGATCGATAGAGCCGCATGCTCCCGCCGGATTGCTTGCTTGCGCTCACGAGAGATGTGTCCACGAGTCAGTCGAGCGCAGCAGATTCTTGCGGCGCGCGTGGTCACCCTGTCGTTCTCGTCCCTGGGCGTGGTTGTTTTGGCGTCGACTCATTCGTGAACTGGAGGGGGAGAAGCTCGAGACATCCAATAAACCGAATCCGCCACCATCATCATTGAGACTCGTTCGTCGTCGTGGACGGACGGATTTGGAGATGCTGAACCATTTGCCGTGTACATCTCTCTCACTACTACGACTTCTGCGACGGACGTTGCTCCTGCTGTACTACTGCACCTTATGCACCAACCTGGCGACCTGCATATTCCTGGTGGCTGGGACTGGGATGCTGAGAGGAGACACACGCACTTTTTCGAAAAGAAAGAAAAGAAAAAAATCTCTTTTCCCTCCGTGCAGCAGCTTGCGTTACGTTGCCTTGCGTTGCCTTGCTCGTACCAAAATCTTATGCGCTTAAATCCATTAGAATCAATCCCGGTGGTCAGTGGTCAGCATTCGGACTCTCCGGGGTGGAATCATCATCATCGGCCAGCTTGCCGTTTGTCGCTTGTTGTCATTCAAATTGTTGAGGCTCTGGTGCTTACCATACAGCCTTCCTCCCGTCAATGCCCGTGTCCGTGAGGAAATCTGTAGCGACGCAAAGCAAAGCGATGATGAGATGAGTCTTACCACTCACTCATCATTCCCCAGCTCTTCTCGTCAGTGATGAGTGCGGCACAGTAGAAGATTTTGGGGACATGGTGGAACTTACACATGCCTTGCCTTGCCTTGTCCTTTTTGCGAGAGCCTCGGTACAGGGATATGTTGTGTCCAGGTCTCATGCAATGCAGGTACGCGAATTGGAGGAAGATGAACATGATCAGATGTGATTTTGGAGAAACAAGAAGAGGCTTGGGGAAAGCGGCACAGAGTACGTTCATATACGTGCATCTTGCATCGCATCGCATCGCATGGCATTGCAGCATACATCGCATGGTGAGAACGGTTGAGGTAGACAGGTAGAGTTTGCGCAAAGCATGTGATAGAAAGCAGGAAAAAGAACAGTGTTAGACGACGGATACTCTGTACAACGAACAAACAAACAACTTCCCAACCGTTTTTCTTTCCGCTGGCAAGAACGCTCATCATAAACAAGTTTGAAGCTTGGGGAGGGTTTGCCATTATGAAAGTCAGCATTTCTCCCCATTGAGCCACCCACCCAACAACGAAAGCAAGATGCCTCCCAAGTAACATCTCCTCCTTCCAAAGTAACACGGCCATTCTTTGTGCGAGCAACCAGAAGGGAACCCGACCAGCACAAAGCCAAGTACATCCATCCATCAGATCCCCCCAAAAAGTATTGCTGGTCGAGCTGCTGCTGCTGCGAGGGAACTTTTTCCAACAAGCCTGATCAAGAAAGAACAACAAACAAGACGCCTCGCCAAAATTGATTCAAAGCCCAACAACATTCATGTTGTGTGTATGCGTGCATGCGGAGAAAAGTCGAACCACGAGAACTTTTGTTTCTGGGGGTGCTAGCACAGCATCAGCGTCGTCGTCATTGTCTTTTCCCTCCCACTTTCCCTCTCTCAATAATGTCAGATTGGCGCCCCTTCTCCTTTGCAGTCCAAAAGATGGCCACACCTCAATCTACCTCTATAACGCGCGGTGTGCTGATGCAAGCAAACGAAGTGAAAAAAGTGATGATAGAGATCATGCCTGGGTATCGAGTTGAAGAGCGCTGATGATGATGATGATGATGATGATGATGATGATGATGATGATGATGATGATGATGATGATGATGATGATGATGATGATGAT